TTTTGTTGCGGAGAATGATGTAATTTTCATGCCAATATGAGCAATTGTATATCTTTATGAGTGCGAAAAACAATGTACTTACCTTGGATAGGGTAAGCAACTTTCTGGGCTTTGGGAATCTGGTTTAATTCAGTTTTTTTATTTTTCATCACAGGCTTGTCTTTTTTAATGCTGTTTTCTTGATATGTCGCATGCGAATTAATTGATCTCGTGTTCGGTGTCCGGAGAGCATCTACAGACTTATCCGACTGATTTGCCTTCAGCTCACTTTTCCTTGATCCAGCATGAAAAGAGGAACGATTTGTTTTGGCGGGTTCCATACGATTGCTGCAAAATTTAAAGAGATACTGTAAAGATGCTGTTTTTCAATTTTACTTTCTATACAAAATTGACAACAATACTCTTAAAAAATCTAAACATGTTTTAGAAAAAATGGGAAACAGAAACCCTCAAAACCTAAAGTCTCACACTCAAAAACTTTCATAAACTTCTGAAAGATACAAAAATTATTGAAGAATTGGCCTTCTTGCAACTCCATAAAAATTGATTGGCCACACACGTAAAACTTAAATTTTTCAAAGCTAATGTTTCATGTATCAACTAGCATCGACTTATGCTTCAATCTAAGATCTTCTTAACATTCTTCATATGTTCAAACTGCTCGGCTTCATGTAGTATTCTATTTTCAAACACAAAATAAATACATCTCTATAGCCAATTTTAATGTATTGGTGAATGGAGGGCGCTTAAACCTCGTTAGAGATTGTTAACCTCATTATATCTTCGATATTTGCTAATAGTGCCATTATTGCTACGAAATTTTGTAGTTTTGGTTAAAGAAGAAAATTTATGAGGAAAAGAATGGCAAGGTTTGTCACCAGGCTGTCACTTTTGCATCACAAAATGGGATGGGAGCACAATAGACTCTACTTCACTCTGTTGTAAAGGTTGATATTTTTTAAGTTTGAATAAAATAGCCAGAATAAGTGTACACAATAAAATGAATAACAGCTTACCTGCTTGGGACTGTATTAGTTTTGCTTTCAAGCCTAGCAGGCTAAAACGAACAAGTTATTAGATGTTCAAAATGTGACATTGAGGGCAAGTAGATAAATTGGTGATATTTAATTTTCAAATGGTGATACGCAAAGATTCTAAACAGAATTTTAGAGCATGCTACTTGGAATGTTAAAGTTTACAAAATTAACATTTAGTACCACATCATAGACGGTTTTTCAAGACAGCGCTTTAAAAGGAGGATTTCCATTACAAAAGTATAAACCCTTCGCCAACGGATCTTTTAATAGAGAACTAAGTATTTGTTGACTTAAAATATGTTGAATTGAAGGATTCAGAGCAATATATTACAACAAGTTTTCAACAAAAAGCAATCCTAAAAATTTCGGAGCATAGGAATGATTTTTTATAAGTAAGGATTTTGCTTCACCCAATATATGCTTGCTTGCGTTTATGAAATCGACCCATCACCAGCAAAACAGATCAGAAAAGGGAGACAGAGTGCTCTTGGTACAACCCTCAACGAGAGATAACTTCTACCAGCATCAACTTAGCTTTATTGACTTAAAAATCAGTACAATGTCAAAGGACATAGCCCGCATTACCGCATCTAGAATCTAGTCTGAGTTACCAATGCATTTTTATCAAGGATGCTTTAGGTACCGCGCAGCCATTGGAACAGCAGAGGCTATAGTCCCTCTCCACTTTTTTGAAGTAATATATTGAAAATTTATGGAAAGTTTACCTTGGAAACCAAACTTTGGAAAGTTTACTCAACGAATCCTAAGTAGTAGGACTTCTTCTTGACTTAGAACCCTTTTTTGTTTATTTCTTGCTGTTTTGTCTTGTTTCATGATCTGTTGCATTCTCTAACCTGGCTAGCTTGGTGTTTTAATATCTTCAAGCTAATCATTTATACTTTTCTGATAGCTAACATCCTCTCTGAATCGCACTTTTTATAAACAATAAGTCGAAAGAAGCAAGTTTTTTTCTAAAAGGGGCCTTTTCCGGCGTTTTAATAGCGTTACCTCGATCAAAATCCGGTCACCACCTTCGCAGGCCCCCTCCCCCACTTTACGACTTGTGCAAGGTACCCGGGATGCTTTGCAGTGATTTTTTAGGATCATTTTATAATACCCCTTCAGGTTATAAGGTTCAAAATAAAAAAAGTACTAGAAATAGAAACTTATGACACCATCACATTTGAATTATAATGTTGTGCAGCTTTTTGCTTGTCAACTTCTGCTTACAGAATGAAATTTGGTTATGTGATATACATTTTAAAACCCACTAATAAGTCTCTTATAAACTGATTAAAGCTTAGAACTTCAATGCAGGAATTGGGTGTCAAAAATAAATCTCTATACAAAAAGCAGTTAGTTTTGTGGCATTGAGTCTTCATTGTGAATGATTCTGTTGCTATTAAATTTTTTTACATTTATTTGATGTGATGATGAAAAACAGATTGTAAATTTATGGGTATCAATAGTATCCCTGTCCTTGGCTTCCAAGCTTATTTGAAACAGTTGGCAAGACCATATTGTTCAAAATCCCTGTTAAAAAGTACACCAAGGTATTACTTACATTGTACATTGGGGAAAAGTGGCAGCTTCTTTTGCGTCCCCGAATATTTGATGACATTGAGCATATCAGTTTTATCAACTTCACAAAAACTAATTCTGACACCTTAGTTAAAAGTTTTTATATGTAGATATTAACTTACATCTTAAGAAAATTTGGTTATAACTTCTGGAAGGTATTTGGGGCAAATGCCACTAACAATTGCAAATTTTTTGTCAGTCAGTGTGCTGAGTTCTGGCAGTATTCAGTCACTAAGAAAAGTGTTGTATGTTGTTGAGCCTAATTAGTGTCATGTATGTTATGCCCTCACAAAACTTTCTAGCTGGCAACAGGTAGTCTTTTCACAATCTTTATAATGTTCACACATACCTTGTTTGTCTTTATGGTTTCTGCATGGCTGTGAGTCAAACAAAAGAATTTAAAGATAAGCATGAATTATAATAATTCTAGTTTTGAGCTTGATTCAAAACATCTTCAAAAAGTTGTCTGGATATTGTTTGATAAAGAACAAGTGGCACTTTAGAGAAGTTTCCTTTGGGACCCAGAAGCAGTGGTGTAGATCTATCAAAATAAAAAGGAGGGCTCTTGCACAAAATGTTACTAAAAACAATAGCAAAAGTAGAAATTGAATAACTTTCAGTATTTAAGAGAGCTCAGCCCCCCAGAGCCCCCCAGTACTAAACCCCTGCACAGAAGGATACAGTCAGATTTTCTTTTCATAAGAGCTAATAGACATTATCATTAACATTATATCTCTTTTGGCATAATCATAGTATTTGCAAACCTCTTTTTCTTTGATGCAGATAGATGCAAGACTGGCTCTAAATAGATATAGCATATATAAATTAAGCCATGTAAAGTAAAAATATTTTAAAATTCAATCTACATGAAATGTATGAAAGAAGGCCACAAAATCTACATGAAGATATGGTTAATTGCTTGTCTTAGGAAGAAGCAAATAAATCCGTGCTAGTGGGCTCTAGCTTATTAAGATCCTCAATGGAACTTAGCTTTAGTTGTTATAATAAGATGCTATTATTTATTAAGCCATTATAAGTATAACATTTCATAGTAGAAAATACAAATTGTTCATTATATAGAAAAAAATATTTCAGCTTTTCCTTTGACACTCTGCAGAGTATTAGAGTATCTGAAGAGTGTCAGAAGAAAAGCTTCAGTAAGGTTCAATATTTTTGGTTTTTTAAACCTGTTTGTAATTTTTGTACCATAAAAAATTGTTTAAGAAAAAAATGAAAAGAAAGATTCAAAAGTCTCACAAGGCTCACAATCTTAAGAATTTACCAAATAAACAGATAATTTAGACATACTCGGAATTTTTGATGTAACCACAGACTTTTCTTTCGCTGGTCTGTTCTCTTTCCCAGTGCTGAAATTAAATGGATTAACCAAATAGTGTCAAAAAGTTTGTGCATTGCAGACTTTGAAATTAAACATAAAAAGAATAGTTATTTATTATCGTCTTGGTCTTAAAAATCTATTGATTGCATTCAGAGGTTGATAACAGGAATAAATTAATTTTTGTCTCATACAATAGTCATATGGAGGTGAGGTCAACAGAGAAAAGTCAAACTAAGTTTTATTTTGCTTCTAGGCACATACAGAATCACAGAATTCTTCGCAGGAATTAACGAGGCATTTGAATTAAAACGTGTGGCTTTCGTGAATAATGTGTTGAATTGAATGGCAGCCAAATGCATCTGTTCCAAATCGTTTTATGCATTTACTCTGTATAGCTAATCTTTATATTCCGTTTTACTAGACTTTATTATTTCACTGCCGATAATAAAGCTAAAGATTCTTATTTTCGTTCGCACACCTAACCAAAGCAATTTCGTCATATGAAACAGGACGTCGCTAAGTTTGTTATTAAACAATATTTTATTGGTTATTTGAACTTTCGTAAGCATGTCATTTAGAAACCTCACAAAAGAAAGAGGATTTCAGTCATTAAAAGCCTTGAAATATCCAATTTTTTCAACATACAAACGTTTGATCACTATCCCTGTTGTCATAGATATCAAGTCAGCTGATTTTTGACGGTTTGGCCTACACCGCTCTTTAGACTAAAATCGCAAATTCAGTCATACCTCTTTATCTTTCTATTATCCCTTCCGCTGGCATTTTCTTTTCTTCGCTTGCTTGATAGTTCTTCGACATTAACAAATGTAGGGGCCAACATTTTAATGCGAATCAAGTTGACTGCTGATCCACATACGACATTTGGCGTTGGAAACCTGCATGTGAAATATTCGAATTGCGAGCGGCTGGCAGTGGTAGCCAATCAAAAGCAAGACAGACTTGTCACGTGATACGCTTGAATAATGGCGCGGAGCAAAGAAAAACAACACATCAAAACCACCGCAAAGAAAAACAACACTGCATAACCTGGTGTAAACATTTTTCTTATTTACAACTCAAAAGAATTTAGAAATCCAGTATAATCACAAACTCGTATTACCCCTTACATGAAATAAATTAGTGATTAAAAGGTGGCTTTCCTAAAAATTACCATTTCAACTTTTTAAAATTGAGCATATCAATCGCAAACCAATATTTGCTCTGATATCAAAAAGCAAAACAAAGAAAAAGTTTTATTGACGTTCTTTTAAAAAAACTGACAATACAACATAATAAATCAGATTTTATAAATATTAAATAAATCGTCGATTTAGCAACTGTAGAAAAATTGAGGCTTCTTAATTCCAAGGGTATTTTACAGCACCTAAAATTTCTTTTTCAATACTGCGAATGATCTTATTATTATCGAAGAATTTTCTTGAATTAAGGGATAGGAAATTATTTGGTGGGCAGAATGGGCAAGTGCAGAACATGATTCGAGGAAATGTACTGAGAGAAATCAAGTAAAATAAACTAATAAACTATTTAAATAAAAAAAACGCGAGAATAGCTACTAGCAAGACTAAAGAATTCATCAAAATTTAGGGAATAATGAAACCTGTGATAAGGAGAACGTTGCATGAGTATTGTCAAACAGGTTGTAAGAAAATGAGGCTGAATCTAACTTTAAAAACGACACGTGTTTGTCCTGTCACTGAGGGATTTATAAGCTAATTGCACCAAACAAAAAAGCTTGTGTCACCTTTACAAAATTTAATTTAGACGCGTGTTACCTGTCCCTTCGGTAATGGTAAAGAACATTTTTCTGTTCGCTTGTGACAAGCTTGCGTTTCGAGCTGTTTTCTACATCCTGATGATGATGTGAAAATCGATTCACCTTTTGAGGGGTATCGAATCTAATTTTGCAATGAGTTTACCGCAAAAATTAACAAGACCAAGCAACTCGAGAATTATTATCGTGTTTTAGATAAAAAGCTAAAATTGCTGTGACTTGATAGTAGCTAAAATCGTAGATTTGTTTGGCTAACAACTATGCCTGGTATTTGACAGGCTGTCACTATACAACAATATCGCATCGCTATATTTTTAAGGTTTCTACCAACTCAAAATTTAACAAAATTTTAAAAACTAAAGAATTCTCACAAAAACTAAGAAACCTTAATAACTGAGAATCGTCTAAGTTTTGTTATGAGTTCCTTTGTACTATAATGGTTCTTATCCTGGGATCCTACTCATTGAGCGAAATTATTAGGTTGCGATGATGGGAAAAAGACAATTTGCCATCAAAAAATGCATTGGGATATGAAGAAGAAGATTTGAAAAAGAACCCCTACAAAAAGCGGCCTTGGAGCTGTGTCAGCACTTTGCCTAGTGAACCATAAAGAAATTGTTATCTGAATCTTTGAATTAAACTACTAACTTTATCACTACTACATCAAATGTATCGTCTTTTACTAATTTATCTACAACTAATCGCCCGTTATCACATCAACACATAAAATTTACTTTTCCTTTTGCTTGACTTTTGTTGTACAAGTCACATTCGGAGGAACATTTTCTGATAACTATTGCAGACTGTTCTGCGACACCTAATTTCCGCTTCTTAGCAAGGTGCGAGGGTTCAAAAGCTGCTTTGTTCCTTTCCCGACTGAATTCACTCTTTTCGTCGAGAAGCATACTTGTACCAGTCTTAACACTTGATAGACTCGAAACGCTGCTTTTCGTACGCCGCAGTGTAAATTGATCTATGTCACTTTCAATAGTAGCTATATACCGCTTACTGTTATTTTCTATAGTGGAAAAATGTTCGTTTTTAAAAACAACATCAATGGGAATATCGAAGTGCTGCAATTCGACCTCGTCAACTCTGCTGCAACCATTGATAACACCATTATTGTTATAGCCCTCGACTTTAATGGAGGGGACAACGTGTTTCATGGTTCCATTTGTCTTAAGACTTGACCTACACCTTTTCCAATTGGCTTTTGAATAGCTATCCGAAAAATTACGAGTTGAGCTCACTTCATTCCTCGACGAACCGTATTGTTTCAAAACCACTCCTCTAGGAAAAGAACTTTCATCCGGTAACGAGTTAAACCTCCTTGGTTGAGGCCTTACCTTATGGTGATTGTTATCATTTATCGTCCCTCCAATGCTTCTGGACCGTTTCCTTCGCTTAATTCTGCTGTCATTACACCTATGTTCCCAGCTGCCTATATTTGAATCTTCTTTAAAAAGGCTGCAGTTCTCTGTCACGGAAGCCCTGTCATGCATTGGCTCTTCATTGTGAGGAATCACATAAGCCGAAACACTGATGCGACGATTTTTGAACCAAGAGCAACAGTTGCAGAAGCGTGACGTAGAGTACTGTCTTGAAGACATGCTACTCCGTTGACTGTTAAATGCAGCAAAGTCATTTTCCCAAAATATTTGGCTAATTCTGCTTTTGGCACTACTTCCGATGTGTTTCACTTTCTTTTCTCCCTTATGAAGCTGCGCAGGCAACGACAGCCATTTGGCCTGATCTGTTTCTTCAACATTGCTGTTTCCTACTGAAGACAAGAACTTCGGGAGATACTGGAAGATCGATGGTCTGGGTTCATTTGAGACACTAGGTCTAGGGCTCTCAAGGTCCATGCTTATTCCATTTTCCTCTGCTGATGAAGTAACAATCGAAGTCAAAATGTTTCTTGAAAGGCTGAGGACGGTAAGTTTTGAGCCGATGCCCGATTTAACTGTGAAAATAAAAATGGTTCAAGCAACGTGAGGAGCATAATATGTAAATGGCTTTGAAAAAAACTAAACATTTGAGTAAACTAAAGCTTTTCGTTTGACACTCTTCAGAGTGTTAAAACATTTTAGTTCGAAATACATGCGATTCTGCTATCGGGAAGCATTCACTGGCAAACCCAGATTGTGCAGAAAAATATAATGGCCACATGTTTTGGATTATTGGTAAAGCCCGATCGTCGTTCCATCTAGCAGCTTTGGAATCTATCTACATAACCACGAAAAACCGCTATTGTGTAGATAAAAGGAGTTCGTTTTTACCTTAGGACTCCATTAGTAACATTCTCTAAAGGCAAGCGGCACTAATTGGGCAACCTCAACAGTCATGTGCTCGCGTTTCTGATTGGCCTGTTTCGATCCACAACTGGGTGTATATATTTCCTAGGGTAGAGTTTTCGATCTATGTTCTGACGTTTAAAACTCTGAAGAGTGTCAGACGAAAAGGTTTAGTTTCTTCAAATGTTTGCTTTTTTCAGAGCAATTTTAAAGTTTTGTACCATCAAAAGATTGTTAGCTAGATATATCTGGCAACGAGCCTGTTAATTGGGCATGTTAAAGTAATGCAAGTTGGCTTTGCTTTTAGGCCTATTTAGAACTTTAGAATCAACATATATCTCTCAAGCATTTCCTGGATGAAATATTGAAACGTTTAGTAAAACATTTGACTAGTGTACAATTCAAAACACCAAACATAAGGCGGGGATACGCCATTTTCTTCATTATGGCCTCTTGGTTCGTGATGATGATGAGAAACATATCAAATAACTACAGAAATTCCTGTAAATGTCCCTGGAAAGGGATTTCAAAAAAAAAGATAGGCGGCATGTGTCTCTGGTATCCCGTCCGATTCTGGTTCACCTAATGTTTGGAGTAGTATTGGGACAGTTTGATTCGTGTATAGTATCAACTAATAAAACAAGCGACCAAAAGAAAGTTTGGCCATGCAAAATCCTACAACTAGCGATAATAAATGTATTAATTTATATGCTTAGTAGGACATGACATTTTTTTAAAACAATAGATGTAAGTATTGTCTTTAGCCATTTTTACTAAATATGAATATCAAGAATACGGTTTATATTTGCCTCTGATAGAAAATTTTTTTGTTAGTTTGGCTTATTTCAGCTGTTGTCTTGCTTCGAAAAAGTTGCCTCCTTCAAGGCTTGAGCATTTCTACTTGAATGGGAGGCTAAAAACGTGCTAGGGGTGATTAAAAATCATAACTCTGTCTGTCGAAGGTGCAGAATCATTGAGATCTCACATTGCTGAAACATTGACAAGTTAAATACTTTTACTATGAAGATAAGGGCTTCAAAATAAGAAAAAACAAGAAATGAAACGCTTACAATGAGCAGCCAGGCCAATAGCAAAATTTCTGATGGCTTTGATAGATGCCACAAGAAGTCCACCCAACAAAATTAAATTGACAGACGCTACAAAAACATATGATTTTGTTAGTTCCTTGTAACAATGGAGTCTCAAGAAATCAATGAGTTTAAAAGCATGTTAAAAAGAGTCGCGTGGAAATATCACTGAAATTCATTTTCTGAATACCAATATCAAGGGCTTAAATGGCCTTAAAAGTTATTTTAAACAAGAACTTTATACAAGAAAAGTGTAAAATCACAAACTGCTTTTCATTACGTTTATAACAATTTATTTAGCTATAAAATGAGTATAGTAACGAGTAAAAAATACGAAAGAAAAGATATGGCAGTGAAAGAAAAGTTATGGCAGTGAAAGTCATTGGTTGTTGCAGCTTAGTACTAAGATTCCCTTAAAATTTGGCGTCACTTAAAACGTGATTGTTTTAGCCCAGATGACAATCAAATTAGATCTTTGATTACTACACGTACCCAAGTACAATAAGTGCAGTTCCACTTCACCCGGAATGTCTCGTTTCGTGTTTTGTAAAGAACTGCAACCTGCACATGTTTTGGTAGCAACACTGTAGAGGAAAAACAACAATTTCTGTTAGAAACACTTTAAATAAAAAGGCAACACGACATCAATGGAATTCATCTTTCACCAATTTAAACGCTTCTATAGAACTGATGACTTTTAGAATGAGCTAAACAATTGAATCAAAAATAAAACGTATTAAATCTTTAGAACGCACTTGAAGTTAGCCATACAGAAGCCAATGGTAGTAAATATAAAAATCTTTATTTGCCCATTCCTATTGAAGTAATCGTTATATAAGCAATATTATTTCAATTCATTTCTTCAACATCAATTTTTTTATCTAGAACCGATAAAACTGAAGAGGCAAGAATGATGATTGTTGTTTAGAGGCGTACCTTATGATCTTGTAAATAAAATACAAGATTGCGGCTAAAACTCCAAATATGAAGAAATAGGAAACTGGCTTGTTTTCTCGTCGAATCTATTAAAAAGGAATTGAAATGATAAAAGAGTCCGACGTGAAGCACAGATGACAATACTGCTTTAAATTGAAATACGTAAAACCATCGAAATAATGAGCATTGCGATGCAAAAAGAATTTTAGAGATTCTAGTGGCATTTTTTGTTGGACTAACAGTGGCATTTTTTGTTTCACTTTTTTAAGATAACAGGATACCAAGAAAATGTTACTTTAAAAACCTTTTAAATGTTTATAGCCCTACTTGTCTTTGAGGTCTATAAGCTTCAAGGCTATGGTTTCAAAATAATAACATTTTGAGGTATATGTCAAAAAAGAATTTTTATTTAACTGTATAATTCAGAAAACCGAATAATAACAACGTAAAGAAATTTATACTTAAATGAAAAGGCAATTTCTTATAATGCTATTGCTGTTTTTAGGCATGATCAACAAACAAAAAATAGGCATGTGAATACCGCGATAATGTATTAATATACGCACTGCTATGACGCCAATAATCGAAAACACCAGGCACGTTGGTATGGAAACCAAGCTTGCTATATGACTGAAACTTCTGAGGTCACCATGGTGCATGGTTTGGTTCAGGCATATTGAAAACATTATCTTTGAGAAAAAAAATTATCATGATAATGAGGTACCAAAATTGTAGATATAACAACCTATTCTCACACTTCGCGCTAAGCTTGTGTCTTAAAATTCTAAGCAATATTCACAATTTCAAGTTACATTCACAACAAACGAAAAAAGCAGAACCAGTAACTCTAAATACTTTAACATGAAAATTTAATCTTCTTTACTTACAATGAAAAGAAACTGCATTTTTAGTAGCATCACGACTGTCTCGTATACATGGAAGGCAGCTATAAGGGAATCACAATATGGCTACGATCAATCTAGAGAACCAGAATTCAGTTAAGATAAATTTATTAATCGGATTATAGTTCGTACGTCTATTGGACATGGATATAACGAACCTGTCCTAAGATTCTTGCTTCAATTTGAATAGCATCGTACTTACCCCGTAATCGAATATTGAATCGGACTCGTTTGTATATCTTCCAGCCATATTCTCCATACAACTTGATTGCAAGCCATGTGAAAATTATATTCAGGATAAAAAGCCCAATTGACTGAAAAATGATGAAACTGCATGTAAATTTCGGTTATAATTTAGTCTTGGTCGTCAAGTATAAATCAGTGTCGATAAGAGGACAGTATATAAAAAAAGATTGACAACATTTGTTCAATTCGTATTCCTGATATCCATGTGAAATAAATGAATAACCTGATGTCTATATCAATGAAAGTGTTAAGGCCCAAACCAGATTAAAATTAGACTCACTGAAACATTGAAACATGCTATATCAAAAACAAAATAAATGGTATCAGTTTGATGAAGATGCGCATAGATAATCTAATAATTTCGTATGCTTCACAAATTCCGATCTTTAAAAAAATGCTAAAGCTTAAAAAAGCAAAATGTTAAGTGCATAAATGTTTTAAGTATGAAGTATCTACCTACATCAATAATTGTCAGATAGACTAGCAGAGTTTGTCTTTCCAACTTCTGATTCTGGTAATTCTTGAAGCTGATATGATAGACTAAAAAGAAGAAAACAGGAGTTAAAAGTGATGTGTGAGATTTAAAATGATTAAAATAGAGCTTTTGACAGACTTGTTTCCATTTTACCTTCTTCCTGAGCTGAATATGCTAGCCCATTTAATAGATGTGCCAGTGAGTCTCTTAGGTCACAGCAAATTCTGAGATTACAATTCCTTTCATCGACTGTTAACTTAGTAGAGATGGATCATGTAGAATTTGTCAAGCTAAGAAACTATATTGGTTGAATGACATCAGATTAAGTTCAATGTTTTAAATTATGGATTCTCTGTTAAAATTCATGAGCATCACCATTGTTGAAGATATTGAAGTGTTTTTCGAAGATGTCAACAGTATTGTTCACACGGTGTTTCAAGTTGTGACATGAAGGGATTATAAAATGCTACCCGATTCCTGTTAAACTCTTATAAGCTTTCGTTGGGTTGAAAATAGATTAACGGAGGAAATAAAGAATTAAATATAATGCTATGGAGCGCTATCGAATGCTTAGAGGATGAAACCTGTTAGCCAATTAAGGTTTCAAATTCCATTTGTGGTCTGGGTTCCATTCCTCTTGGTCTTAGCTAGTACTGAGACTGGAACCTACAACTGAGGTTAGCAACAACAGTTGGAACGAAATCTTGAATCAATAACAGTAAATCTATTCTAACAGGCAGTGCAAATTACCACGGAATACTATAAAAATTACGCGTGACATTATAACACCATTATTACTTCCTTGTGCACTCTGCGCCTGTTGCAGAAAATCATGAACTCTACTATCTTCAAAAGATTTGTAGCAGACACTTGACAGACTTCAAAAAGTCTAGGTCAGGCAATCTGTTTGACACTACGTCTCACCAAAACATGTTTTGAATGGAACAGTAATGAGCAAAGTATTAAACTATTTATAATATCAGACTGAAGCGACATGATTGATGACACACCAGTTTCAATAGTTGACATAAAAATACGTTGCAACGAGGAACTAAATCGGTTTTGGTGATTTTACTGGAGGCAGGGAACATCTAGCTGTAACTTCAATTAAAATGAGGTTGCTCAAGTACTTTATTCTAGGCAGATATCTCGAGGCCATTTTCCTCTACTAAATCAACCTCTGTTGAGATAATGTTGAATTCCATGGATTCTAGACATCTTCTATATAAATTTGTGAAAAACGGTCAAATTAAACATTCTCTGCCATACGACTAGCATAATTTTGGAGAGGTAGCTAACCACTTATGGCATTATACAGCGCTACTACCATGCAATGAAAATCCAAATAAAATAGCCTGTGATTTTCTGTAAAAGGCTGAAATGGCTCTAATACTTTTACAAAGTGGTGCATACATCTGCGAGTACCTTTAACCCGTATGTATACTGTCCCTTGAATACTTCGAATAGGCTTGGTTTTCCTTTCTATGTTGAAATTCGACTGCTCACTTTGGAAATACATAGACGCAATCTGCTATGCTAATAAAACATGGGAACTATTATCAAAAGAATAAAAATCTTGCCTTGTATACAGCTGTAGCTAATGTATCCATAATTTTGTAACACAAAGGCGAGGATTTCCAAAAAATTTTGCTTTTTTACCTGAAAAAATAAGCAGGCAATTTAACTTTGTAACAAAAGAGATTTGTGTTCAATTATCTAAAGATGTATTTAGCATTGATAACCCTTGCGATTATGTTCATAAAAACATGGGGGTGGGGTATTTTTGTAAATCCAGATAAAATATTACAATCAAAACTATATTTACTTTACTTTCTAATTATACTTCGATACTACAGGCACGATACCATGGGGAGCAAAGGACAATGACAACGTCATGGCCATTACATACAACTAGACTAACAACTATAAAGGCTACACATATACGTAATATTTGTTTCTAAAAAGGGTATATTGCTATGTAAAGAATAAATTGGGGGGGGGGGATGGGGGCTCACGAAAAATTCGCAAAAGACAGTGGCAGAAATTTGAGAAGGACAGGTTACTTTTGACATTTAACAAGAGGGCTCAAACTCATAAGCCCAAATAACTTGGGAGAGGAGGGGATTGGAGTAGCCAAAAAGTATTAATCGATGATTTGTTTTCCTTTAACTGTCGACTCTTTTCTTAGCTGCTGGAAAATTTGGTTCGGGTTATTTTTCATGATAGAAAGAAATACCATTGTTTATTATCGTGTTATTTAAGAATGTCCCAAATGCCATAAAATAATCTTTTTTCTGTATCTGTGACGCTGTTCATTCACTGAGAACTGCGAAAATACCTACCGCAAATAAACAGAGGAAGCATGAGTATAAGACAGCCAGAAGAAAGAGTGCCATGTAAATTCTTCGACCCGGTCCAAGTCCCTAAAACAAAATAAATTAATCAAGTAGCCACAAAACAGCAAGGACATAGAAATAATGAACTGAGGGATAACTGTGTAAAATGATAAACATCTTCATTCTGTCATTTCCAGCATTTCATTTTGTCACTTCCAACATTTCACTTTGTCACTTCCAACATTTCATTTTGTCACTGTCAACATTTCATTTTGTCTCATGTTGACTCAAATATGATATGTTGTTTGCTCGCTTTTTCATGTTATTTTAAAGCTTTGCAGTACACAGGTAATAGATCATCCTGGTGGTACAAAAGACCTAGGCCTATTCAAGTTATATGTTTGTTCATAATTCAAAGGTAATTCGTACAGTGGTGCAGTAAGATCGGACTTAACTCAATGAAATATCACATTCAAACTTTGTTTGACGACTTTGTTGACATTTACAAGAGAATTTCAGTGTCTCAGATGCTAATGAAAACAAGTAAAGAATCAACAAATTCCTCTAAAAACATCTCTTTTTGGTGTGTAGCCCTTTTCTCGATAGCAAGCTTTAAAATGCTTTGCAGAAAAAGCAGTGTTTGCTTCTCGATTAGGACAAAATTCAACAGTCTAATCTCCCTCAAACACGTTGCATGTTCTCAGCTCCCTAAGAAAGATAGAGTATTAAGGCTTGAATGTACACTGAAAATTTAAATTACCCCATCCTGAACATCTTTGAAATTTCCACATGCAATCATCGCACTTTGAATTCCTCCAATAGCAATAACTGAAAAAAATTAGGATAAAGACTTAGAAGATACAAAGAAGTATTTGAAAAATTATTTAATGTTGAAAAATTTATCTTTTGAACGCGGAAGATATTAATGAAAACGGAGTCATGTTGTTCAGTTCAGAGCGTTATAGAGTCGATCCGTTTCGCCTTCATGTCGCTCCACTATTCAGAATGAATAACTTTTTAAATCAGTGCACAGACCTCTAAGTGGAACTATCCTGTGCTCATCCATTTATGGAAGACCTGAACCTAGCATTGTCATCCCATTCAGGAACGTGCCTAAGACCCTGTTTACACGAGACCCGTCCCAAAAAGATCCGTATCCATTTGAGTTCACTTAGGCGTTCTGTTTACACGAGACCTGCCTAACCGTAATAATTTGAGATCACCTAGCCGTACTCATTTAAGTTCACTTACGAAAGCGTACTTATTTGGAGCCGGTTTCACTTGGTCTCGTGTAAACACTCGAAACTGGATCATTTGTGATTTCTTGTTCGCAACCCTAATGTCAAAGGTTCATCGAACTCTACAAAACAGGTTGTTAGTGTTACCAGAGCAGAGCTCCAAATGACATGATCGTTTTGCAAAAACCGAGAATTGAAAAGAAATAGAAGAGAAGAACCTTCTGGATGAGGCCTGGGAGAACAGAAACCTGGTGGAGTAACGTTAGAAATAAAGCGAAAGCGAAACGAATTTGGCGCCTTTTCACTTTTGTTGTCAAGGTAATAGGGGCCTTCGACTCGAGTGTTTTGAGCTTTCTTTCACAAACGATCTTGAGTTCAGGTCTCACTCAAATGGATACAGATCTTTTTGGAACGGGTCTCGTGTAAACGGGGTCTAAATTTCGTCATTGGTAGTAATAGCCCACTCGCTATATCAACAAAAATGAAAATCGATAGAGCAGCATGTAGAGCACGGAATTATCGCTAAGGTGAGCCAGCAAATGCAGATGACAATCCACAATGTACTAGTTACTCTTATAAGCTTTAAGATTTTAGGTCATTAAATTCCAACATTTATCTGACGAAAGTACAAAATCATTGGCTGGAAAAAGCGACAAATAGTTAAACTTCAATTTATTTTTAATCAGCGGCATTTTGTGCCAAACCACAAGTCCTTATAAACAAGGGACACCGTGCAGAAACCTTTAATGCCAGAGCTTGGGTGTGCTATCAACAATTCCGTAAATTTTTAAATGGTTTGTTTTATTTTAGTGAAACGAGAATTGAGCATTGTTGTGTGCGATTCGTTCACTAATAATTCCATCCATCGACTAACGTGTCATTTCCAACTTGCGTCGCATCTTATTTTACGTGCAGAGAACACGGAGCCAGAGAGAGAAAGACAGTGTGTTGCTTGATTGTAACTGAACTCTGAACTGAACTGAACTTACTTACAAATTAACATACTTATATACAGAAATGAATATCTAAAATTAACACGAATGATGTAAGGAAAACAAAGGATAGGAAGGGCGAGTGAAGGTTGGTGAGTAAATTGAATAGCGTGGCAAAGATTATGTAAACAATAGGGATTAGCGAATGCGTGAAATGAGAGTGACGTAGAGGATGCCTTGCTGCGATGTGAGAATGTGGGAATGTGATAGAATGAATGAGAAGAAAAAATCGATGTAAACAGGCCTACGTAGAGTCACTACACAATTCATATCCAATCCACAGTTCCTCCTTGTTATTACTTATAAAGTTGAACATCAGCTGTTTCCGAAGACGAAAAATTTATATTTAATACAAAATTTCTAACCAAGCGATATTTTAGGCAGTATTTTTGAAATTTTCATTATACGATATGGGTCTTGTGCAGTATGCAAAGAACCTAAGGCCCCGTTCACACGGGAAAGATATCGTTCCGTTCCGTTCTTCTCCGTTCCGAAAAGCGGAACGCTCAGGCGTTGTGTTCACACGGGAACGCTTCAAACGACATCGTTCCGTTCCAAAAAGTGGAACGATAAAATAAGTGATACGAAAAGTGGAACGGTACGCAATCGTTCCGTTCCGTTCCCGTGTGAACGCGCAGAACTGGTCCAGAAAATGGAACGATAAGAGTTTTGCCCTGGGCGCATGCGTCTGTGTTGTTGTTGAGGGAAGGAAAAGGTGACAATAATAAACTCAACGAAGAAAATGGAGGATTTGAAAAACACCATTGGCTGAATCTCGCCCTTAGTCCATTTAAAAGATTAAACACCATTCTGCAAACATTGAAATTCCTTCCTTTTAGGGTTGGCTTCAATTTTTCCACGAGCTTGCTTATCTTGGGCGCTTTTGTATTCTCAATTTATTCAAATTGCTTAAAAAATTCAGAGATTGCTCAGAGATAAATCGAAATGATGAAATCTATCTCCATTATGGACATGCGCATTAAAATTCATTTGCTTATTTTGGCGCGCAAATTGCAGAACGGAACGATTGCGTTCCCGTCTGAACATAAACAAAAATCGATACGCAATCGTTCCGTTACCGTGTGAACAGTATACTTTTCCGTTCTAGAAACTGGAACAAAAATGGAACGGAACGATTGCGTTCCCGTGTGAACGGGGCCTAAGACGAAAACGCACCGTTTTGAGCCATTTTTTATGTTTAAAAGCATTAAGAATAGGATCATTCTATCTATTTAAAAAAACAGAAACAAGTAAAAGATACAATTATTTTAAATGTATGTACACAAGTAATTGTGTAAAAATTTGTTTCTATGGACGATAGCACGTGTTTTCTAGTGCTGTAATACTTACATTTTTCTTTAATCTTGCAATAGATCTGGGCGTGTACATTTTTTGGAAAGAATCTGAACCTGTCAAAATTTCAACCAAGGAAGAGATACGCGCGGGCGTGGCAGGTCACTGTGGAGGAATTAACTAAATCCCTGTACAAATCTAAATAGACGATATTCAGATTCCAAATATTCTAGATCTCAATTTACCTAGTTGTGTTGCCAGCCCGAGAAAACTAGGGTGGGCAAAAACTTTTTCTCGACAAACTTTCGGAAAATGTGGGAAATTTTCTTATTATTTTTCATGTATTTCGAAAATTTTGGGAAAAGCAACTTTTTTCAGCAGAATTGTTCATTAAGGGTGTTTTTTTCCGGAACGAAGATCGAAATCGATCTGGTAAACCCCCCCCCCCTTGCCCAGAAAAAAAGTTTTTTAATGAATTTCGAGACATTAGAAAATTGACCTCGGGAAAACTGGAATGGACATGTCAACCCCGAATTTCATTATCCTCCTGAATCTTTACTTTCAAAAATTTATACTATAGAAAATACCTCTGAGCAGCAAGTGCCGGTATTTTTAAGATTTTGCAAAAGGTGGTGGTTATTTATCAAGCAAAGCATTGTATTCATCAGTAAAACGTTAGATTTAAAAAATCAAAACAAAAGCTAACTAATAATAGTCTTCCATACATAAATAAAGGGTTAATATTTAAAAAAAACAGATTCTTCTTTAATCTGTCTTATTCACCCCGTTCTTTGCTTAATCGATTCTGATAAACAGGTAACTAACTCGCCGGGTAACCCGCTTTAATTCTAAAGTGAAATTTCTGGGGCCTAAGTGAAAACAATATATATAAACGGTGGATATTCAGGAACAAAGCAATACGACGACGAGAATCCAATGTAACGAGAGAAAATTTTCAAAATAAATTTAAATTATTTATTATTTATTACGTATTATTACTCATTGCAAGATTCACAGAATCCGGCGGACAGCCTATCCTGCGGTTCTTCCTTCTAACACATTATATAAACGGTCCCGGTGTCATAAATGACCCGGTCCCAATGACTTGATTTGAGACATTTCCGATGTTTTGTTTTTGTTGATCGTTTGATAAAGCGAAATGCCGCATGTGATTGGAAAATGAATGAGGTTCTATATGAAAAATAACAACAAAAGATAATTATGATGGTGACTTATTTGGCTTGCTCATGTCAACAAGGCACAACGTTAGTTGAAAAATTAAATGCCAGTCAATGCATTACTGGCCAGTTTCCCTTATAATCCGTGTTTTCGCCGCTGTTTACATTTCCCACAAAAAAGCACATTTGAAGTACAACTTTACAAAAACGTTTTTTAGGAAATACAGACGCAGATTTCGAATATAATTGACGAAAAAGGGAGGTTGAGAAATACACTTCCTGCTACATGTTGAGAAATACACCTATGGCTATATATTAAGTTGGAGAACAAAACAAAGGTTCTTGTGCAATATTGTTATTATTGTCTTAGCGGTTATTTATTGTTATAAACAGCATTTAAAAAAACTAAATAGACATTAAAACTTGTTCGAGTATAAGATCAATGTGTAACTAACGTACCTTGAAAGATGTTCAAGCCGAAAAATGTTTTTGCAGTGCTTGAAAGCCCCTCAGATTTACTTAGGACTGGCCGCCGAGCCTCAATGACCCTTTCCATGTTGGCTTTAAACCGACAATATTAGAAGTCTTTAACCATTTCTAAAATGTATGAGCCATGGAAGAGGCGAGAGCACCAAAATATTCACCATTACCAAGTTGTTTTGATTGGGTCAAGACTCAAATCTCGGTGCTAAACCTAACTTCTGCTACTATCAAATCAATAAACAATTAGTTGACATTCCAAGCTTTCCCAAAGTCCAACATGACAAAAGTGTGTCGTGTTTGAATCAATACTCTGGTGTCACCTATTTCCTCTCCTGAGATCAATTATGCAGCAGTGAAATGACGTGTTACGATCGTGGGTGAATCTGCAGATTTTTCCTTTTCAGACGTATGGTGTTGCTAGATTCCCCCTGTCTCTATTCTAGACTCGTCGCAAAAATTATTATTAGCATCCCAAACATTGAACCTCAGTTACTCAGCGGGTGAGATTAATATAGTGTCATGTAAAATTCGCTTGCGGTCTTCTTTTGTCTATACAATTCAATACAGTCACAAAAACCAACTGAGTTTTGAAACAAAAGCGATTGTTTCTTGGAACACATGACATGAGGGACACTGATGCAAGACAATCGAAAAACGCAGTAACATGCGGAAAAATTATATACTTTGGCAGTTCACATTCAGCAAATACTTAGCATAAAGCAGCGCCTTGGAGTATGACGTCTAAATCAAATTCATTAGACAACATTCTACAGCGATATTTCTTTTATCTTGTGCCTTGCAAATAGACGCAAATAAAAAGAGGGTGTTAGGGGCAATGCCCCTTGTAAATGGAGCCAAATGCAATATGCTGTCATTCCTGTTCCTGACCGACTGTCGGGGTCGTCACACGCTTATGTGCTAATTGGAGGTTTCCAGGTTCCACTTGTTGAAATTTTTTTATAAAACAAGCCCCCGACGATATTGGGCAGGTAGCATCCTTAGTACAAATTCTTGGGAGGCGTTTTTGTGCACTTCGATAAATTTCTCTTTGATTCGGTAAAATGCAGATTTTGGTAGTCAGCTGGAACAAAATGATGCAGAAAAGTTGCTTTATCCGCGACATATCTTCTTTATCTTAAAGTTAAAAGGTGAATTTTTAAAAAAGGCTTCTCCATCTGTTTCCAGTCGCCCGAGGGGTATGGCACAAAGTCCAATTATTGTCTAACACCCCCCCCCCCTCCCAGAGGCGGATCCAGAGTAAGTTCCTTGGTGCACAGAACTCAGTCAGTTTTCCAACATATAGCTAAAAATAGTGTTGCCTGAAATAAGTAATATTTAGGCTAAAAAAGTGAAACCTAGAAATTGTAAGTTTTATCGTAGTCTCTTCAAAATCTTAAAATTGCCAGTTTGATGTCATTCGTTCGCCCTTTTCCTTCCTTCTTCTCTGTCGTGATTTTGAAACGATTTTCCAGACGCTGTGGAGGACAACAGCAGTCAAATCCTAGAACTCGGAAATAAACATTTGTGCCTCGGAAGTGAATAAATTGAAACAATAAACTTTTTGTTTGGAACACGGATGGAACTCAGTCAAAACAGCATCTGGAACTCGGAAATGATACCATATTTGTAAGAGAGCTGTACGATGGCCAGTAGTTGATTGGCTACCTATTGTTTTTAATCTGTTGTAGAACTGCAAAACTTTGAATTCGAAATGGCGACTGCAGATGTCTTATTTTCACGACCCTCGCAGCATTTTAGCAGATCGTTAATTTTCCAGGAGCATTAACTACCTTTATTTTAAATTGCAGTCGATGATGACAAGAGAGACCTATGGTCAGACGGAACACCAAATTTTGAAAAATAGGCTGGTGTCTACATGGGCAAAACAACAAAGTGCGAGTAAAACAAAAGGGACAACTTTTCTGTGGCATCCAAGACAAACAAGAGGGTATTTAGAAAGGGAGGGGGTTGCAGAAATTTTCACAGAGGCACTGGTTTCAGTCGGGAAAAAATCTATAATCTAGATTTAGTGAGTGGCTAGTACCTACCAACCCCCCTCCCTCCCCCCTACCAAAATGCAAAAATGTGGATAATAATGTTGTCTTAGGCACAATTATCAATGCATTTCCTGAAAGACCCTAGCCTAGGCCTGGAACTCAGTCAGATTTTTTGCTGGATCCGCCCCTGCCCCCCCCCCCAATCCTGGCCGCTTAAATCCGTCCCTGAAACCTGTTCCTATCTCCTTCTGTTATTGACTTACTTGCCCTTGTCTATAATACGAAAGGGAAAACATAGTATCCTCGCAATTAATTTTTACATAGGAATATCCTGTTTATAATTAGCCTGTTCTACTTTTCGGCCTATGAAAGAATATGTTTTTAAGGGGTGTGTGGGCTTCTATGAATCCGACACCTTTGTTTACTGGATGCATGTAAAAGTAGCGCAATGGAAAGTCAACCTCATAACCACCACACTGATAGGCCCTTTCAACTCCAGTCAACCTCTCGCCTTGTCTGGCTTTTTGTTGATGTCATGACATTTTGTCAATATGAACCACTCTTCGAAAAGAGGCTAAACACACTTTTTTACTATAAGAATATGACTATATTCTTAAAGTGACTATATTCAATAGGAATAATGAAGCTCAAAATAACTGAAATTTACGAAAAATTTAAAAATAATGCAAGGCTCAAGATTCGCCAAGAATTTGTTTCTTTGAGTTTTTTGGAAAGCAATACAAATGCAATTTGTCCGCTTTGTCTTGAAATAGATTTATCTGGCCTTGGAGTCATTGAAAATAGAATACAACCCGGTTATAGCTTAAGAATAATTTAAGAAAAAATCATAGCCTCAAATTAAAGAAAATTAAGAATATTGAGACACAGAAAAGAATTAGGTACTCTTATAAAAAAGGTGTGTTTACCCGGTGCAAAATTTGAAGTGCTAAATTGGAAACAGTTTCCTTGGTTTTGAGAAATAAAAAGATGTTTCGATGTCATTGGACATAAGTGTGTATTTAGGTGGAACATTTGTTAATTTGTTAATTTTTTCCAAAATCTCTTGCCTTGAAGCGACTGTGAGTTGCACAAGATCAACTTATACTTTAAACATTTTACCAATCATTAGTGTTTCAAAGCTTAGGACCCTCTGCTCTTCACACCATAAAAAGGAATTAAGATTTAATTGCAAATATGAAAAATGTCTTTTGTATTTATCAGAAAAATATCAACTTGTTATTTCTCAAGATCAGGAAAATCTATGAAAAAAATGGAAAATAATTAATATAATCAGATGAAATACACAAAAGCACAATGGGTTCAACTGACATTTGATGCATTGCACAGCTTTTATTTTTCAGCCAGAAGCTTTGCGACAATCTATTCGTGATAATACGAGAAATTTGATCTAAATGCAACGAACAAGTGGAAGGAAAATCCTTACTTTTAACTGCAAAGGACTGCATTCTAACAACGACTATATTTATACTTAAAAACGACAAGCTATTGCACGAAAGACTTTATCGATACACACCGGACAAAACCAACGTAGATATGGCAAACGGTATACCGCTAAAATGTACTGGTGATTTGTCCCAATAGCATTTGGCATTTAAAACATATCAATTGGACTAAGAATTTGAGGGCCTATTTCCAAAAGCATTTTGCAGTGAACTAATGGAGACATATAGCTATTAAACGGGCAGTTTGAGTAGCAAAAGAACCAAAACCTATTTGAATCATTACATTAAGCATTCGAAATGTAAAATATATCGGTGCAAAAGAATATTGTAAAAACTTGTTGGGATTTCTGAAATGCTACAGAAAGGTTAATGGATTACTTTTCAAGGCTATGGTCTTTAGACAACACAAGAGAACAATATGTGGCCATTAGCATGTTGTCTTGACGGCATATGGCAATAGGACATAAATATAAACTTTTGCCAAAATAAAAATCACATGTAGCTAACAAAACACAAAGTAAAATGAATCAATAAGTTAATAAGATATACATGTGCTGAGTTCAAGCTGAAACTTTCATTGGAGATAATTTTACTTTCCTTTTAGATTACACATTATGGATATTATCGACACATCATATAAGTGGTTGCCAATAATAACGAGAATTTTTTCAGTAAAGATAAGCCCTCGATACATCTTCAAAAGACAAGGGTATTATCGATTGACTGCTAGCACTGTGCTAGTTGGCTTTACAACCCATACAACAGAATATTGCCCTGCGGGATGGAAGATGAGCAGGACGTAGGAAAGTAAAATCCTTTATAGGCAAAAACTGAAAGATATATAGTAATCAGTTGATACCGTAATTACCAGGGGGAAATTAAAATCGCGCAATAGCACAATATATAACAGTTTCGATTATGAGGTTTCAGCTGACTTGAAATAAACAAGGTGAACAAGAAGGCTAACCACCTTTAAAATCTACATTTTGGGCTCTATAAACAACATGTGCACTTTTTGCCCGACAAGCTAAACGAAAATAATCAAATTAACTTTCTAAGCTTGTTAATTCTATATTTGATTAAAACAATACAAGAATCCAGAACACATTATTTTGCATTTATTAGCCTGTAACTATACTCTCAATCTAAGTAATACTCTACAACATCTTATGATTAACTAGAGTTATTTACAGAATGAATACAACTGCCCAGTCCTACTTGTGCCTTAACCGCTTTTTCTCACTCTCTTCATTTGTTAGCTGCGGAACACCGTCAACAGTTCGTGAGATAAGCTTCCCGTTTTCTCGTACCTCCACCGTCTCCTTTCCATTCTCTTTAACTCTGCAAAAGATTAGCTCGTTTAGAATCATCACAGAAGAAAAAACAAACAGAGCTTGAGGAGCCATGAATTACATAAAATGATAAACCATCTTTTGCAAAATTAAGAGCCACTTTTGTTGAAAGATATAATTTTAAAACCTTCTTGACTTCCATATTACATTATATTGTGCAATTGACTAAAAATTTGAAGCTGTCAAAAACAATTTTCAGAGATAAATTTATTAAGAAATATCCCCTAAAAAGCTATATCTGAAAGACAACAGTACACTTAATGAGGATCTTTTAGCAGTGTCATTAAAACAAAGAAAAATTAGATGTTGTGAGAAAATGACACAAACTTTTTTGTCTCTACGGTCCTCCCATTGACTGTTTTTGTTGAGACAGAGGTTGATCTCACTGTAAAAATTAAACATGATTATCAGAACATGGTACAATCAATTTCAACAGCTGCAAAAATTTGTTGTATTCTTAGTTACGGCACAAAGATAATAGAACATCATTCACGTTATTAGTTTAGTCTACATCTAACAAAACTAAGAAGATGAGAGTCTGAAAAATCTTCTTTCACGTGTTTAAGGAGGTTTGGTTTGCTGTGGATTGTTACAGACAGACCCGGAGAGGGAATGACAGATAAAGTCTAACCCAGCAAAAAGTAATTTAGTATAAAAATAAAAGAGCACTTTTTCATAAGAATATCAAGAGCGATCTTAACACTTAAGGCAAAGGAATCTATCTGATATGTTGAAAAATAACATACTTGAGCCACCACCAAACCCAGAGCCAAACGAACTAAAACTGCAAAAAAATACTGCATTAGATTTTCAGACAAATTAGTTAAGAAATATGTCTTGCACATTTATGGTGTTTGACACTAGTAGAAAGTGTCAGATAAGAATGAACGCGACCAATTTTTGCAACGAAAATGAGCAATTGCCTACACTGTGCAAGGCACCTTTGTAACGAGTTTATGATATCTCCAAAACAACAACCAAGTTAAAACTTCAGTAGCTATACCTGCTGTTTGCAAACCCATCAGCAAATCCATCTGAAAAGCCAAACGAGCTGCTAAAACCAAATGGTTGCGAAAAGAAACTATCCATTCCACCTCTCTGGGTTCGTCTGCCACCTCCATCGCCATTAGATCTTTTAGCACCACGATGCAGAGGGCCTGAAGTGGAATGATACACACATACATTAACTGAAAAATTGAAACGGTACACACATTAACCCAATTTCTGCTTCAAAACACTGTTTAAAGGTAAACGTTTGGTGTTAACATCACTTTTATGATCCAGAAACGTAGTTCCAATGGGAAATCCAGAGGCAGGCCTCGCTAAAGTGTGCGAGCACGCGAGCAGCCCTTGCAGGCAAACCATGCCGATTACTTCTGCAGGCACATCTGAAAAAGCGGTCTTCGATAGACTTGTTCACAGTTTTCAATTGTTTAAGAATTTAGAGAAACTATTCAGCTACAAGTTTCACCATGTTAATATTAAGTTTTACCACCATGTTAATATTAAGTTTAAGGGAAAAGGAATGTATCGATTACCACCATCTTAGCAAACAAATATGTCTATATATATTACCAAATAAAAATGAACAAATATATAAGGCTGTAATAACTCTCACCTCCAAAAAATTCTCGGAAGATGTCATCACCAAACGGGTCGTGAGAGAAGAAATCCCTAAGGGGAAATTTAACTTAAATAATAATTCTTAACGGTGAGGATTCACAAATTCAACAATTATAGCTCAACAATAAAACAGTGACATGTAAGCGTTTAACTGCCACTGTTTTGATCTGTAGCGAATGGGCAGTTTCATATCATTATTTATAGGATCTGTAGCAATCTTTCTTCAAAACCGATAGCAGGGCTCAGTTTTGCCAAAAGAAACAGCGCCGAAGCAAGTTAATATTGCCAGTTTTATATCAAGCATTTGTCAAGTTTCTAACTTTTGCATTGCATTACACAGGGATTGATATGACATATTGCTTTATAATCATTCACAATATAACAAGTAGGCTTGGTGGTTTTAAAAATAAACGCAGCAAAAAATCCATTTTTGATCATCATAGAATGAGGCAATGTCATAGCCATCACTGATTTGTGTGTTTTTTGTTTTTTATTCTTGTCGCGTTGTGGTGTTCCTTATTTACTACCATAATGTCAATGTAGCCTATCATGTGAGCTTCTACACCGAGTGATTCGGAAAAATTACATAGCCAATAAGCATTTCCACATCTCTTTGGCATGGTTCAAGATAAACTGGTTACAAAACCAATGTAGCTAGCATTAGTGAACACTTTGCTTTCCATCAGTATCAAAGAGAACAAATAGTATGTTCAAAGTGCTCACAAATGACACAAAATGTAAAGATTGTCTCACAAAAAGTGATCAAAATGGAGTGAAAATATTGAAAAACAAATCAATTGTTTTCACTGCTACAGTATACATTATCCCATTGACTAATACAAAAAGCTTCCTGTCTAACAAAGAATTACACTTTATGAAAACTCACTTGAATATGTCATCTGCACTGCGAAAGGTAAAGTGATGAAAACCACCAAAATCTGCAGCACTAGGGCCACCACCACCACCACCACCGGCTGATAATAAAGAAATGGAGATAGAGAATTTGTATGCAGAGCAGTTTTCTATGCTCAAGCATACCACAATCTAGCTATTCTTGTTACCAGCAATTGTGATGTATGTTTTCTTAGAGCATTTTTAGTAGCATGTACAAAACACAAATATCTTACATGCTAATAGGTTGTTTATCACATGCAACAAAATCTCGTGTTTTTGGCCTCTGCAAACATTCAATTTTTGTTGCAAAAAACAAAAGCCACAATCCCTGGTGACAAAATTGCCTGTGTATTTTGGGAATTAAAAAACAGAATATAATTTTCTCTGAAAGCCCCTTCAATAGGGTTAAGAAAATATCTCATGTCACCATTACTTCAAGCCTGAAAGTCTTTAAACCCAAAAAACATAAATACCAATATCTTTTTTTCAATTTTTTTTACCCAAGATAGATTCTAGATCTTACTTTTTAACAAACTTGATTATATTGTATCATTCTGCCTATTTACCTTTTAGTCCATCTTTGCCATATCTGTCATACACAGCTCTTTTTTCCTCTGAAATAAAGAATTAGTGATCACTGAATTAACACACAGGCATACGCACAGCCAAGAGGAGAAGTGAAAGGAGCAAGAAACATTTAACAATAGATACAACATCTAGAAAATGAAATAGTTTTACAATTGGCATCAAGGTATCAAATATCATGTCTCTGGTGAAGAAATTTTTTACAATCTTCTAGATAAAATCAATGCTTATACATTAAAAAATGGTTCCATTTTTTAAATTTTAGTTTATCTTTTGCAAAAGTGTTTTTTTGAATTTTAAAACACACCAGTAAAACAATAACTATAAATAGGAAACACTACTACCATTGATAATTCAATACAGCCCCCTCTTGAATAGACTGGCTGGCTTCAAGTTCTTAATAAGCCCCTCTCTTGAATAAGCCTCTCTCTAAAATAAAAATATGCTGCCAGATGCTGTAAAAAAGTGGTCATATAATCAATGCTTCTTTGAAGGGTTTTTTTGCAATAGAGAATGTTTTCATTAACTTAGTTTGAATTAATGCAATTTATATCTTGCATCTCAAATATTCCCCCGGGTTAATTGAAACAATTTGGTACTTGAAGGTGTATCAAAAAATGAATAAAAATGAAAAATAGAAATGCATACGATCTGATAAAATGTCATATGCTTCGGAAATTGATTTGAACTTTTCCTCAGCTTCCTTGACATTATCAGGGTTTTTGTCTGGATGCCATTTCAATGCCAGCTTTCTGTAACTGATATAAATAAAGTTCTTGGTAAAAGAAGAATTGTAACAAAAATTATAAAAAATATCTCAGCATATAAAGCTATACTTAATTGGTTGAGAGTCAAATTTGAATTTGACAAGAATCAGGATAAGAAATGAAGAACAGCTTCCTGTCTAAAAATTTATCTGGTCATATTTTTGGTAATATTTTCATTTTGTTCTTTATTTTAAACTGAGATCAGGTTTTGAAAGAGAAATTTGATTAATATTATGTAGGAAGGGGGTAATTTATCTGATGGCTGATGATTGCAAAAGAAGGTGCAACTCAGAGCTTATTATTTTCGCAAGACACACTTGACGAGGAAAGTCATTCTACATGGTTGAAAATCATGCTATTAAAATCAATACCATTCATGCAAAATAAACAATGTAATATTGCTTTGATTTGGATACAGGCTTATATAGAGATATAAAAATATGGCAATTTCCAATGATGGAGGAATTTTCAGGTTATAAGAGGTATAGCCCTCTAAAAGTTACTATGACAGATATACAATATGATGATTTGCAATAATTTGTTATTGCCAAAAATACACTTACGCTTTTTTTATTTCTTTTTCATCTGCATCCTTTGAAACACCCAAAATTTTATAGTAATCTTCATCCATTGCTCAATATTGTACTGGAAGCCTGAACAGCAAATACCTTACAACAAATGCAATATAAGTACAACACAGCTGATGCACAGAAAAGTGGTTAGAAAATGATATCAAATGTAATAAAGTAGTAGTTAAAATGCATAATATTGTATCAGCTCTAATTGGCCCCTACGGACAAAACATCTAATAATGGTCCCATGAGACAAGAGAATATTGCCTTTTTCAAGGGAATTAGATTTTCATTTTCCCAGTTTCAAAAGAAAGTTGCCAACCTACCTTCCTTTCTTTAAATGCAGAAATTTCACAAGGTTTGAATGTCATGGGGTAGTAAGCTATAACTGTGTTTTCAGGAAAAATCCATTAGTGGTCTACCAGGGGTGGCTGGGAGAGATTTTTAACTGCTATTAGAGAAAATTGTGGTATCAGGGCATGGCTGCTACTGTTTTTACTTCCAGCCACACACTCTTCAATGGTTGTTTTCAACATTGCACTGCTTTTTCTAGGCCCTCATGGTCGTATCTTGACTTTCTTGGCTGCAAGACAAAGACCCCTTTCTATTTTCTATCTTAAAGCTCTCTATCTCATAGTCATAAAGAGAAAGCAAAAACCAGGAAGGGGGGGGGGGATAATGGCCATGGTCGGAGGTATATTTGATCTCCAGAGCAATATGGCCCATTGTCAGAATAACCAGACTTATAATTTTGATTTTGATACTAATCCCAAAAAAATTGTAAAGTTGCAACATGTCTCTTAGTTGTAAATAACAGTCAGAGGCATTTTTTTCAAATTTTTACTAAAACGACCTTAATTGGAATACATCCAAAGTCATGGCTACACATTCAGTCTTTCAATTACCACTGTAGGCTATGGCTTTGACGGTCTGTGGCATGCAGAAAAATATTATCAGTTTACAGTAAAAAGGCCCTCTGTTTGCAGCTGTAGCCTCTTTTTTGCTGCTCTTTAAGACCCTCTTTTAATAGCAAAATCATATCGGCAAGTATAATACATTGAAATACTATACCAAAGGACCTGTACAAAACCGAACACTATACTTAACATACAAAACCAAAGGACCCTTTTTGAATTCAATTTAAGTGCAGATCTAAATTTTTGATGAAACTAACAAATAGCTTGCAAATAAACTACATATCACTATGCCAAAAAATAATTAGATAACGCTTTCTTTCATATATTTAAACATAGTCGCTGTTGGTGTGTTTATCATTGTTGTGGAGAAAGGATTGTCTGTCAGTATGTTGTTAAAACCCCCAACGTAAACTAGAAACAGCCATATGATTTATTTTAGACACAATATGCCAGAGGAATGGAAAGATGAATAAAAGAATCTTGCTATTAGAAGTGACCCAGCTAATAGCAAGTCCGCATATATTAGATCTTTCATAACAGCATGATTGACCACTTTAAGTCACACAAGAAGACACAAACAAAGGTGGATAAAAAAGTTGCTATTAGGTTTCACAAACCTAATAGCAAAATTTCAGGACTGTGGCTGTAGTATTTGTATTTGTTTGCCGCCGTCAGATGAATGCAGATTAGACTAACAAAGCTAATACCACCCCCAGCCGCTCCTGTAGTTTTCAATGCATGGTATTATTTTCAAATATTTGGGAACTGTACTGGCAGTATTTCACTGGAAGCTGAAGAATTTTTATTTTGAAGGCCAAAATCATTCATTTGTTTCATATTATGTTAGCTGCTGTAAACATTATACCAAATTACTTTCTCTGCACAATCTGGGAAGGGGGGGGGGGGTCATTACACTAAAAACCTCCCTCTCTAAGGGCCTGTCAAAGAGGCTGAGCTGTTTTGATCAATGAAATGATATTGTCAATATCTTGCCCAAAGTGTTTTTACCAGGTCATATGGGCCAAGTTTATCCTTAGGTCATACCGATCATGCCATAGGTCTTAGATTATCATAGTACAGCTCATTCTTTGGTAATGTCATTTCATCTCATCTTTTTTCTCAATTCATGGCAGTTCCTAATTCTTGACACTACAGCCAAATATGTTGAGGCCAAATATGAAGAAAACAAAGCTAAACAAATGATGCAGTGACAACTTTTGAAAGATTTGCATTATCTTCCTTTTTACTTTTAAATTAGTTTGCAAAGTCAAAGTGGTTGTGACTTTCATATGGAAACTTCTCCATTTTTCTTTACCCATTTGTGAGTTTTTTATGAGTCCCTTTGGAAATGAGGTGCGAGCCAAATGGTCAGGTTTGTGGTTATCTGCAGGCATGACCACTAAAACGACAATACTTGAGCTTATATTGCACACAGGCCATACTTTATAATTACCTGCATTTCATTTCAGTTGCAGCTGCAACTAATCACAGACCAAGTATCACTAATCATTGACAATATAGCACCAAATCATTCATAAATCTTAACATACTTTCATTCTGCTAACAAAATCTCAAAGAGAAACTAACATGCTAAAACACACATTGTCATGATACGAAGGACCAAACCTTCGATTAAAGAACAAAGGATCAAGCCCACCATTATGTTAGCACTACAACAAATATGGGGAAAACCCACCAGTTTCACTGTAATCAAATTTATATAAAATTGTTAAAACAAAGAAATCTAGGGTAAAAACTTAAAAACTTGTATGGAGACTTGAAAGTAAATGAATGCGGGGGTTTCTTCAGTTTGCAAGATTAAATTATTCAAGAACGAGCGTTTCCAAAAATAACAGACGTTTGGTCTCACAAAATATTTGCAATCTTGGCCATATTTCATCGTAGGACCTTACATTTTCCTAACGTTGGAACAAATTTGCTAAAACAAACAGAGGCTTATCACTTCTAAATCAGAGGGGATCTAAAAAACATAATAATGTCATTCGTCGCATCAAAAATTGATCCGATTAATCATGCAAAATCCTTAAGTTTGAAATAAAATACAATTGCTGTACTTACAATCTATCCCACAGTTATCAAAGCCTGTAGTATTCCAAACTTAAATGTCCACCCGGTGACTTTTTAGTGCTGTAAGTTCATATCCTTTTCCCTTTCAGCAGGTCGTATAGAAATTTCTAGTAATTTTCCTAAGTATACTTCACGACGTAAAATCAGACTCGACCTCAATACGAGAGTCGAGAAGTCTTACATTGACGGACTTACATCGAGTAATGCAAATGCTGCGCGGCAACAAACATGGCTGACGAAATTGCAGGATTTCCAAAGTTGAAGGTAACGTTTGATTCGAAGCATTGATTGAATTTTATTTAAAGAAAGGATTTTCGGCTCTATCTTGATAAAAATAATCGTTAATGTACAATATATTTTATTGAAAATAACACATGATCTGAAAATGCAACGATGGCAGATATATGGGTTTTGATAAACTAACAAACCACGTGAATTTTCGACTACGCTACGTTATAATGATAGATATTGACTTATTAATTACTTTTGGTGATGAAATGACTTGTATGGCTAAAGAAACACCAACATTTTCTGCCAATGTCAATCAATGCACGGCTCTGTGCCAAATTTTTGCTGCCGAAAAATTGTCTTTCTGATGCCCTACAACCCAGAGGTGTCTATTATCCAGGGAGGATTTATCTGTGGGCCTAATTGAAAATATCTTCGGTGTAGGCATCAGATAGATACTGGTAAAGTAAAACCAGATTCCTGAAACTTAGTTCACCAATTTATTGGCACTGAGTAAACTTGATGTGTTATACCCTCTATTTAATTAAAATTCAAACCACAGTTTTTCACAAAATTCAGTGCTACTTGTCATTTAGCTGCAATCAACAAAAATGTATAAAACCAAATAAACATTTTGCACTAAATTTCTAATGTTGTATTATTTCAGGAATGATAAAAATGTTCAAAATTATTGATGGAGGATATTTAATGCTATTTCAGTGTAACAAGGCCTATAAACTACACAGAATATTTATTGTCTTTTAATACATTTTTCTATATCAATCAACATTGTCTTGAAGGTCGATGACTTGAAAAGAGAGCTTCAAAAGAGAGGTTTGCCAGTCAAAGGCACCAAGGCAGAACTTCAAGAAAGATTGCTAGAGTATCTTAAAAAAGGTATAAAATCTAAGAAAAATGAGATGTGTCTCTATGACACTGAGGCCCTAAAAAAAGTGTGTTTCTTGTGTACCTTTTTGTATTTGTCAAGTTTCAAGTATTTCTAAATAGTAATTTATTCAAATCAATCTTATCTTCTGTTGTCGTTTCAGTAGAAATAAAACTGGCCTTTGTTGCTTTTTTACCTTAGGTTTAGTTTTTAGTTAAAAGCCATGCTTTGCCATTTAGTAGTGATGTATTTGGTAAAATTAGTCTTCTTTTTCTTCTGGAATTTATAAAGTAAAATATTTCTATATTCCATGATGTTTTGAAGATGTAGCACTGGATTCTGAGGAACATAATGACAAGAGTGAAGATGGAAGTGATGATAAAAATGACAGTGATGTGGATAACAATGAGCTAGAGCATTCTGTTGAAGAGGAAGAAGATCTTGATGTTGCCACTGTGCAAGAAGTAAGCATTTTCTTCCAACCTTTTACCTTTGTTGCTGCATGTATTGATATTGGTTGTACAGTTGTATGCTTTTTTCATAACAAATCTAATAGACTACTGTAAAAGTAATGGGTTAAATGCAAAAAGTCATAAATTCTAGCTAGCTGAAAGCCACCAAGAAGCCAAGCTGTCATCTTTTTTTACAACCATTATCAACTTCTTTTTTTAAGCTTGATGATGTCCTTGAGGTGAAAGTACCAGAAGTTGAAATCAAGGATGTGCAGCCAAAAGAAAATACTTCAGATCAGAAGTAAGAGCACAAATGTTGGTTTCATTGCATTTAAACATCTTGAAAAATTTGTCTTATTCAACAGGGCTTTTATTTACTTATTCCATATATTTGGCAATTTTTGCCATATATTTTCTGTCTCCATAATAGCACATTGGATGATTTTCTAACTTTCAGAGATTTACAGAAACATAAAATTCCACTGCAAAAATTATTTTGTCAGATATACCCAAAGTATGTGATTCTGAGAGTCCTTTTTATCTTAGTATTCTTTATCGATATTACTGCAAACTGATATTTAATTTTTGTAAACAGTATGTACTAAACAGAGGTTTTAATGTTGATGTAAGTCGTGTAGTTGCATGTCTTAGAATTGTACGGATACACATGGATCATTTTAGGAATGAAGCAGTGAAACCCGCAGTTGTAAAAAAGAATATTCCACAGACAGAAGAGGAGGTAAGTTTAAATGATTATTCTAGATATTGGAGTTTTTGTTACTTGTTGTGTTACTAAGCTGCTAATATTTTCTCTAAAAATTCTATTATTAGTTATATGTTATTCAGATTCTTATGCATGCCTTTTGAAAATATTCCATATGAATAATAAACTTCTTTTTTAGAAAAGAACAGCTAGAGGAAAAAGATTTGGTGAGATTTCAAATGAAGTGGACAAGAAAAAACTGAGGGCTGAAAGGTTTGCATTGATAAATATATAAAAAAATTCTTCTCCCAGTTAGTTTTTTGGTTTTCATAAAAAAGCAACATTTTAAGATTCTCTTTTGAAAAGGATGTATAGGTTTTGTCAACAGAAGCAATATTCTTCGACAATATAAAATTCTTGTTTCCATATTAAAGGATGAATGTTTAATATCATTTTCTGAGTTTAATGTGTTGCAACATACAACTTCAAATACTCAGTTCAATACATGGTCTGTCTGGCATGTTCTTTATTTGCTTGAAGTCAATATTTTTCTCTTTTTTTTAATGATAATGTATCTTCAATATTAGAAGACCTCTAGACAAGCTGCATTTAAAATGAATCTGGTATCAAAGTTTGAAAAACTGAGTAACTGGTCTTCACGTTTATTAAAATGGTAACTGGTCAAATTACTTTTGATACAAAAGACCTGGTTTCTGTAATAATTGATAACTTAAGGCCAAAGAAGCTCCATTACTGCAAGCCTTCAAGTCCTTTGTCCAGACTCCCAATCGAAACCTAATGTTTTGTGGTAGTTTGATAATAAGGATACTGTAATATTTGTTATTTTTCTTGTTTTTATATACCTTTTGTTAGCTGTACAAATAAACTGCTCATTTGTAATAAGGACTTCAGCATGATGAATTTTTCACTGTGAATTTACTAAATAGTAGTCTGAGTATAGGATTTCAAGAGGAAATGAAAATATTTTTTTGAAATACTTTGTTATTCATTGCACTATCACTTTTTAGGTTTCAAGCAGGTGGCGCTGAAGAGGTTGTTTTTAAAGGGAAGCACATTGCTGTAAGTTAATATTAGATGAAATAATGTGACTTTGTGCTTGAATGACGGCACATCCATTGAATTTCTGACTTACAATAATTCAGCCTCCAACACAGTCGGCCTCCAACAGCTGGAATCGTCAAGTGAAAAGAAAATTCTTTCGAGTCATTAAAAGTAAACTTGAACGGAATGATGATGAAAGGAAAAATATCTGCTTGAATTTTGTAAGAATTCAAATAATTTGTCGCAAAACTGAATTTTGATAACTTAATTTGAATTTCCTGCTTCTGTTTATATCTGAGTAATCATGACAACCCTCAGGACAGCACTGTCAAGTGGCAAACTTGTGGCAAACTTGTTTTGCCATCCACCGACTGTTTTTGAAATACAGGTTGGACTATGTATTGTATGCTAAGATTAGTGGAGGCTGTGACTTGTATCCAGATACATATTTAATTATCCCATCGATATGAATATACATACTGTAAAAGCTCTATTAAGCCCCCCTCTCTTTAAGCCCCCCTTTTTAAGCAGAAATTTGAAATAAGCCCCCCTCTCTATTAAGCCACCTCCCATTATCATACAAGAAAGACTACAGAGTAAAGTGCATTGATTTATTAATAGCTCATGATGTATTTGGTCATAATATTGCCAGTTTCTAATTTCATGTGTTTGAGAGTCAAAATTAGATATAAAATTAGACATGAAATTAGATATAAACAAGAAAAGAACAGGAAGATAAAAATCATTTTTGTATCTTGATTTTTAAGATAAGCCCCCCTTACCAATAAGTCCCCCTTTCTTTTAAGCCCCCCTCTAGGACCTCAAAAATTAAATAAGCCCTCAAGTGGTTAATGGAGCCTTTACCTTATATATATTCATTACGGTATATATTTTTAAGCCCCTCATTATATCGTAGTGTTTGTTAGCTGATGTTGATTGTTTGTGAACTTCTGTAGGGAGATGAGCTGGAAAAGCTTAAGAAAAGAGCTAACCGTTTTGGCGCTGTGTCACCCGTCATAGAAAAGGTAGACATGACTTTTCCTAGTCATTTCTTGAATTTATTACATGTCTTTGACTGAAAAGTCTACACAGGTTGAATCTTTTTTCAATACCATTGGCTCGCTGCAAAGATTTCTAATAGGTTTTTGTTTTACGACTATCCTGCACGAAGTTTACATTCGACTTGCCTAAACAGCTAGCATAAAAAGTCAAGTTTACGTACGCCTTTACCTTTCAGAAAATCTGAACCGAATTTTAGCACGAAGTTATATCTTTTTAGATAACAGAGTGGCTAGTAATGACGTCATCATTTAAAAGTGTTGTTGATTTTGAATATATTATGTGGTAGATAGTTGTAACTCTACGTATAAAAAGCCGTATAATTTATGCAAAATTGGCCAAGATATAGCCGCAAGAGCCATCTCATTGATTTGGTCCTAGTTCTAAAATCTTCCAATAACACAGCCAACACAACAGGTAATCATTGGTAAACTTCCTTTTATCTTTGGTTAAATCCCAGTGTTTAGGCAGCTAACTGATATAGCACATGTGGAGGCATCATATTTAACTTTTTCAGCCTATACAGGATTTTTCTAAAGACAAATATTTATGACCTCATCACTTAGACGCTCGTTTCTCCTTTAAGATTTTGTTGGCCTCAAACTGAGAACGATATCATTGAACTTGTTGTTTTTGAACATTAATTAAGTGATGTGTATTTTATCTGTAATTATGGCAGCTTGGTGAGAATGAACGAAAAGTTAAAAGGCAGCAAAGGTTTGGTATTGTAACGAGTGTTTCCACAGTGCCATCCAAAGACAATCTTGATGTGAGTTGACTGCTTTTTGAAGATATTGCTATCATAGAAAATCTTTGATACATGCTCTCAATAAAGTGAAAACCAATTTGCAGGTTATGTTTGTGCTTTACATTTGTTAATATTTAATAGTCTTATTTAGTTTGTTAATAGTCTTTTATTAACCAATTCAATATTTTTCTGTCACTTTTTGAGTTTTTACGTTTTATGATATGATCTTTCGTTTAAAGGCAAGAAAAAAGAAGAGAATGGAGCGATTTGGAAATGTGTAATATACTTACGTATATATGGTATGTAACATTTTAACGATTAAACTTTCTGTTTCTATAAACAGACTCTTTTACGTGACATCTTTTCAATTTTTTGTGTGCTTTGCTCGCTTTTTAACGCAGAGCTTCTCAAGCTTGAAAACGTAAACGGCACTTAGACATGTTGTGATTTAAATATTCTTAACGAGTAAGAACGTTTATATCAGAATTATGTTAAAGCTCTTTCTAAACTTTAAACATTTCATTAATCTTTCACTCATCTTTTGTTTAGTTAAGTTGAGCATAGTGTAGCGAGGGTTACTAAACTTTCATTAGACTTCAATGAACATTTTCTAATAGTGCAACAATTTGGAAATATGTTGCACCGACTAAGCCTTATACCTAGCAAGAAATGCTTTTGTGACAAATGTGCGTGCATTTAGACCTCAAGTTTTATCTTGACAATTTTCCTCTAAATGACAATTTTCCTTAGTTTTACAATCCCTGTAAAAAACCCTTTTCCCCGAGATATATTAGGGTAGTGATGAGATAGGACTTCCTTTCAGCCCGAAAGATGCCTTTCCAGCCTGAAGATGTTAGAATAAGGTACAGACTAGAAACAGTGAAGGACCAACTTCAGGATAACAGTGTATATGCATGCATGAGTTGTCTTTGTTTTAGTATTTGTGGACAATAAATAATGATGTATTGGCTTAACACTACTTGTAAATAAGGTATACTTGGCTTCTAAGGTATGTTCCACTACTTATATCTGGTACCAGGGTATCCCATTACTGGCATCGGTATGTCACTTTTAGGTACTTAGTCGTCCCCCAGCATGGATCTCCAAACATGCTGTTTTTCGCGTAGATTCTACAGCTTCTTTGCCCATTGCATGCGGATTTTACTTTGTTGTATGCATTACCAGCCGAACAGTCGGTACGCATCGCCCAGGTCAACCAGTTTTTGCATGTACTCTTGTTTCTTCTGCCATACATTGCGTACCGAATAGAGATTCTGTCACTGCCACTGCACGAAGCCACTATGGAATGGCCCTCACAACAAGTCTTGCTGTATTCTTTAACTAAAGAGAAAGATCATTGTTCAGTTGGAACATTGCCGCGTTTTTCTCATTTTCTTCAACAAATATTATGAAATGGGGATTTAAACTTAATTGAACTTTCTATTCAATGGTTTGCCTTTAATAGTAACCTTTTATTTAAATAATAAATTAAAAGGCATACCGGTTATGGGTCCTGGGTCCTAGTTCCTACGTTAAGGCCCTGGGTCCCTGTTTTCCGGTATGCCCAATTAAAGGTCTTGAGCGTTCAATTCAGCAAATTGCTTATAATGTTGATCGCAGTGGTTTAATTTTCTTAACTATGCTGAACCGATTTGTTGATGTTAGTTCTATGTCGCTGTTGGCTAGTTTTTTATCATAGGTATTTGCATACACCTATTCGCCCGTCTATATAGTTTTAGTTCAAGCCTCTGTTCTAATTAAGATGGGTACTGGAACAAGACAAGGGAGCCTGAAGGAAATTAGCGGGAAATTTGTTTCTGGAAGGATAGAGAGAATTTTTGATAATGTTTTCAGTAGCTAAGCAAGTCTCATTTTTTTGTGTACCAATAACTTTTTCCGAAAATTTCATACCGCAGTGACAATTATTGTTTAGTTTGGTCTATTCTGTTAGGCCGCATCGCTGTGTATCGAAGCAACCAGAAATATAGCTTAAGTATTTGCAAAACCGAAGCATCAAGTTCTTTATTACGGCCTTATTGCAGTGTGATTGTTTGCACCGCAAGGAGTGTAAATGAAGTTTAAATGTCATCTCTCTGTTCATCTTTAATCTGCAATTGGCTCTTGCAATGTGGCCGATTTCCATTTTGGATTTCATGCTACCTCCTAAGATTTTACTTACTTGGACATGCTTGTTGATTACATGGTCTTGCTTCTGTTCTTGGCCCGAAAGCATCGCAGTTTCTACCGCCGTGTGCTGGCCTTGGGTTAGTACATGTGCGGCTTCTATATTGCGAGCCTCCTCCACATGATTTGGAGCAGGAACCATAGCCAGTCCACGCCGTGTATCCACCATGAACTAAAACATAAAAGGATTGAAGTTAGATGTCAAAAGCATCCCCCTGATTGTTCATTCATACTCCTATATTCACTTATTGTGGAAGTTATTGCTCCCGCTTCAAGTTTCCCTATTTAAAGGCTTATGGCTTTGGTTGATTTGAATTTCAAGAAACAGTCTACATCCTTTATAAGGCTTATAGCAGCTTACCTGGACAAGGACTCTCGTTGCAGTTTTTGGTCTCTACAGATTTCCCAACACAGTCATTCCCGCCATACATTGGTGGTGGATTTGTGCAGCCGCGGATACGTTTTTGTTTCCCCCCTCCGCATCGTTTTGTGCACATGTCAAAAGATGTCCATTGTGACCATCCACCATGAACTGTCAAAAAAATTGCTTTAATAATTTTCGGTTTATTTTTTAGGGGAATATGATTAACGATATTTACAAATTGTGACACTCTTACGTGAATTACTATGGCTCGAAAATTTACCTGACTGTTTATTGTTATTGAACTCTCTAAAACCAGAGTTGGTTGTGACGTATTACCTATCTGTAAGGTCCTTCCCTTTATGTCATCTAAGTATTATCCAGAATCCTTTTGGGTGCACGTTAGTGGACTCGAGAAAAGTACATTGGTGAACCCAGATGATCTTTGACTTGAATATATCAGATGTCTAAGATATATTTCTGGCAGCTAATCATATAAACTAAAATCTAACATCAAATGCTTATTATTACAAGACTCCAATCGTTTATATATTTTTAGATAGTGTATGATTGCAGAATCTCACTGTATTGAAAATGTATTTTTTGCAGGACGTATCAAATGTGGCGATTTTGGAATACTTTTCAGTAGCCTAAAGTGGCCTAAAGACACCATTTGTTATAATGGTCTAGTTGCACAAATTTTGACTGCCTTCATGGAAACCATGAACTGTAACTATTACGTAACTGCATTCAGTCTTGTTTTGCCCTTAGCAAAGGTACCTAACTCTGGAGAATTTTGTATTGAATGAGATAACGATTTTCTTATGTTCTTATTAAAATTAACTCCAAATTGTGTGGAAAATAAGCTTAGATTTCCTTGTTACACCTTACTCTACTTTCAATTGTCATGTCTAAAGCTCGTGCCTTTTATTTTCTATTTGGAATGAGGTTTAGATTGTTTCATAAGTTATCAAGATCATTATCGATCGCTAGTTCTTTTATACCCCCTTTCTTTCTTAGCTACTGCTTGCAGCACTTGCTTTTTTTCTAGTTTTCATTATGATATATCTAAGTCCATTTTTAATTAAATGAGTTTTATGGTAAGATTATTCATCAAAGCAGCAATTTTCTTTCTTTGCGTTCATCTGATGGTAACCGTCGCTTGTAACCTTGGCTTTCAACTGAAAATAAGCTCAACTCAAGGTAGCTCACTTTGACGTGGTTATGAGAGCCCAGTTCTAGAAATGCCTTCCCCTTCAGATAACCCCTTTTTTATTGTTTAGTAATAATTTTACGTGTACAAACCTGGACAAGGTGCAGGATTGCAGACACGTGTTTGCTCTGTCCCTCCGTCACAGTTTTTTCCCCCATTTGCTGGGGCTGGGTTCGTGCAGCTTCTTGTTCTTTCCTGTACACCTCCAGCACATGACTTGCTACATGTGCCATAAGTGCTCCAGCTGGAAAAGCCACCGTCAACTATGGTAAAAAAAGTATGTAACCATATGTTTACACTTTGTGTATAGAAGGCAGGGTGGTTCTAAGTTGCAACTTAGACTTGGCGAAATTTCCCTGAGTTTCAAGGCTCATTAATGAGCTGTGTGTCGTTACATCCCTCTGGTATAATCAAAACCTTTCTCTCAGAGTTCACCTCTTTATGAAGAGCATTATGTACCAGGCTTGAAAAAGTGTTTATTATTTACCTGGGCATGCTTTGCTCATACATGGCTGACTCTGCGTGCTTTCGCCAAGTGAAGAGCAGTCTTTTCCTTCACCTTGCGGTTCTGGGTTGGTGCATGTGCGCTCTCTTATTCTTATCCCTGGGCCGCACTCCGACTGGCATTTTGTCCATCCACCCCATTCAGCAAAGCCACCGTCGACATCTGAAAAAACACTCTTTTTCAATGATAACCAGGTTATTTACCGAGGCCTGATCTGTTATTTTTTACTAGTTTTGCGGCTCGGGTTTTTTCTCATTTCAATAACGATTTCTACATTAACTCACTACCAACTTTTTCTAGAACTACTATATAGAATTTTGACATGAAAATCTTAATAATTATCATAATTTTGACACATATTATTAGCTGATAAATTCCCAGCTTTTTATCATAAAATAATATTTTCAAAAATGCATTGGTTTTTCACTGCTATTTTTTTTGGAAAAATAGAGCTTTCTTAAATTGTCATAATTAGATTCAATCGACCAAAATGGAATGAGATATTGACACATACTTTTAGGAGCTCTGCTTTTGAACTTGTAAATGTATTCTGCGTTGGCAACCCCAACACATTCTTTGTGAATGCCATGTTTGCAGCCTGAATATGTCTGATCCCCAATGCAAAGGTGACCTTTATGGGTCATATCCAGCAGCTTTTTCAACTGTTCCGCTGTCTTTCCATAGCATTCACCATAGTAATGTAATGCAAAACCGACATACACGTCTGAGGCTGTTCTGCCTTGGTTCTTCTTTCGTGTTTCTTCGTCACACCGGCATGCCAGACTTACGACAAAAGGAAACACATTAGAGACACTTGTAGCTTGAAAGAGAGGTATCTCGACATTGGGAAGAATCCCTTTAGTTTCAGAAGACCCTAATTTAAGGGTTTAAGGCTTTAGGACTATGATAACGCTACAAGTTTTGTACAGCTGACGTTTAATGTGAACAGATTTGATGGGCATCTTGGTCATTAATCTCGAGGTATCAAACGTATGATGCAAATCTGCTGATAATTATTGTGGTACCAGAGACAAGAGAATGAAGAGATATAATTTGTTTTTGGGAATACCCTCCTAAATGCTAGTTTCCATTCAAAAACATCAAGGGTATGAAATTCATTCAACCAAGTAATTACTATCATTTTTAGAAGAATTAGATAGATAGATTTAGGCTTTGGAATGAGTGAAAATAACAATGATTTGATAAGCTATTATAAACTACTGCGGCACAGCAATTATTAGGTAAAAATTCATCCACTTTTGTTGTCAACTTTCAATTATTGAAATCCTTAGCAAGAACGTGTTAAAGATAAAAACGATTAAAAAAATTATTTACCTGTGCATGTAAGCTTCAATGTTATTCCAGTCAATTGAGTCCCTGTCATTGATGATCAGGTCTTTGACGTCTGCACTGTACTGTTTAAAGCAACCAATGTTGTCATACTTCCTCTCGCAAGTCGTGTGCCTGCCTGGTTTAACAATTATGAAATTAAATTAAAAACTAAGCAAAATTGAACCATAGTTATACCAATGATGGTTAACGAAAATAGAAACGAGAATTGTTTTGACAACAGAGACGATCTAACCACCATTAAACATTCCAATATATTTTCAATTCTGAATTAAAAGTGATACAGTGTGGAGCTAAAAAACTCTGTGTAATAAGTTGGTGGAGAAGAAATTAAGCTTCAATTTTATTGCACACCTACGTTGCTTTGGAACAATTATTAACTCAAACTGGTGAGAAAGCCATGGCTATATACTGTACCCAAGGTTTACTTTTTTTTCGTTGGAAATAGTTTTAATGTGACAACAGATTTCACCCTTAAAGGCACTCTTTCTGACACGATTCACTATAGATATAGAGTCTCTAAAAATCGCATTGTTTCCAAGTTCATATGATTGCAATGTAGCTAGATACTAATTAAGTGATAGGAGTTTCAATATAGCTTGTTTTCTGCAGTATCTTTGCGAATAACAAAATATTTTTCCTGCTTTTCCTCTGGATTAGAAATTCTTCTTTTCTCATCCTTCATACCAGTTTTTGCAAAAACAGCAGATTTGCACTCTCTTCTGTGAAGTCTCCAGAATTAGAAGAATTTATGATTCTTTATGATACCATATCACTGTATTATTGATTATCTTTTGCCTTTTTTAAGCCTTTAAAACTATTGTCTGCTATCTCCATTCGAGTTTAAAGATCATTTAGGCTTAACATTGGGCATCGTAACAGCCAATTTAAAATTCAAACCAGCATAAGGCCTTGTAGAGGATTTGTCTTTCTTTGAGTAAGCAGTGGTCTAATTTGATAAAATGTCTAGAGTGGTACAATACAAGATCGAATTTATAGCATTTGGCTGGTAGAATTTTATCTTGTGTGTAGGAGATAAATAGAGAAGAGGAAATGATGTTAAATAGATTTGATTTACCTTCAATGCAGATAACTGCTAGGAACAAACAGCAAAGTATAGCTTTCATATTGGAATTGTCTCTAAGATAGAATGAGAAATGTTAAAGTTTTTCAAAAAGGGGCAGAAGTTCATATTCAAATACAACGTGATGACTCAAAGCTGGTAGTTTTGTAAAGTTAGTATCAATCTGTCCAATTATTTTTGATACGCTCATAATTACTGATTAATATTGTGGTTGTCTCAGGCACCATTGCAGAAAAAGATATCTCAAATTGATTCATACTTGGAGAACAGAAACATCTGCAAACTAAATTCCTGATGGTCGTACCTTAAAAATTGTTCATAAAGGGTTTCACCAGAGAAAAATTGTATATTCATTTCCTGAGAAATAAACTGAAATTTGAAAACATTCCTTAAAGAATAATGGGGACAAAGCATGGTCTCGCGTGGTGCAACTCTGTCCTTTTTGACGCTTGTCGTGTGTGTAGACGCCAAGGATTGAATATACCCTTTTGCCACCGAACATTTTGATGCCTATAGAAGAAACATCCATTCGTATCTCATTAAGTATCTCAAAGTCCATGAGGTGGTTTTATTTTAAACTATGAAATATGGTACAACATGTTTCCAAGTTTTAGTAACCAATGGATTTTATTTGTTGTACCTCTTTTGAGTGTGATATAGAAATGACATGAGCGTGATTTGCCCTTGATTTTGCCATTCTTTGCTTTTATCATTCAGGTCTTTGCATGAATGGTAAGCATCAAAAGAACAATCGATATTTATATAACTTCTATTCGAATGTCATTTGTTGACAGAAAGGAGTGAAAATTTCAAGGTGCAGTTAGGAGTAGCAGCTGCATTTTTATGTATTTGTATGAATTGAGAAATGATTTGCCTAGATTTAAGTTTTTCAGTTTGTTGTTATATCAACTTTAGTAGATTTGGGTTGTTTTGAACAGCTGCTCGATACTTTTTCATAATGTTGAATGTTAGATACTGCCTGCAGAGTGACAAAGAAAAAACACGTTCAAAAATATCGCAGCAGCATGCAACACGTTGTTTTTGCTCCCATGGACACATTGCTCATTCCCATGAACATCTTTGTTTATTCCTACGCAGTGCATTAATGTTTGGCACCCGGTCATTGGCTAAATGTAAATAGAGCAAAGCCACTCTGTTTCGTTTCTTTTACAACGTGTCAGGGCAAATATCTGAATACTGACGTAGAAGTAAAAACAGGTTTTTGTTATGAATAAGTTATATATATGCATTAACTACAAATTGGTTAAAAATTACATTCGGGTTATTCTTGCGAAAATTTTGTTCAGTTATGATGTTTTTTTCAAAGGGAGAATCCTTAATAGATTTGATTGATGATTCTAAAAAATTCTTTACAGATAGATCTTCTTCTTTCTCTGATGGTATTCAGATTTTGATAGCTTGTAGGAAAGGAAATGTTATCATACCTAAAACTTCGATTAGTTGATTTTTGGCTTGAATTTTTCGGGCAAGCATGGTCAATAAATTGCTTTCCAGAGTTTTTAACCTCAATCTTTGTTTCTATCAACTTTTTTCCAATAAAATTTTACATTTTGAAGTAAATATTTATATCATACTTGTACTATCATTACATTATAGAGATGACTCGTATTTTACTAATCTTATGATGTTTAAGTGAATGAAACTTGAAAAAGAATGGTAGAAAAAAAAATTGCCAAAGTTTTATTGTTTTCTAAAAGCATGTGTAATTTTTAAGAAAAATTGTTAAAATATTTCACTCTCTTAGCCATTTTCCAGCTGCAGTTCTCAACACATACAATATGACAACATTGCAAGATTGAAAGGATGATTTTTTGACTCTTAGCTTTAACATTTGAATGTATTTAGTATTTGGGTGGTTAAAATTCAAATAAATCTAAATCCTAAACATAATTGACTATGCTTTATACAACTAAACACATGAGATATAAGTATCTATGTATTTCTTGAAAGTCCTGCAGCATCATTATCAAAATTAAAGGTGTTTGTTCAATGTATTTTGCAAATTATTTTCTATAAATGGCACTTTATCCAAATAATTGCTATCAGCGCATTTATTATCCTTTTTATTATAAAACAGATTAGTTTAAGGTTCTTTTTATTTTAATGGTTTTATTGTTTAGTAACCATGTAAGGTGAAAATACATTTGTAAGCTTCTTTATCTACAAGAAAGGCGTGACAATAATGGTTCTTCCGATGTTTCATAAATTCGACTTAGGCAAGGTTCATTGTGAATATTGAGATTTAGTTGACAATAACAAGGCAGTGTAAAAAAGACTTTATTTTTAAAGTAAACAAGGTAACAAACCTTTTTTTCACTCGACACAATTTATTTTGGATTGATCTCTTGCCTTTTTCTTCATCAACCCTAATGTGATTGCCACTGCTTGTTGATCTATTTATAATGTTCTTTGTTCAAACAGTGTATTGTAATCGCTAATTATTGATTTTTGCACTGCTTATTAAGTTATTTTGTTATCACCAATCTTGTTTGCGGCTAATTCATTGTATGAACATATCAAATAATTGAGAAAACATGTTTTCTACTGTTCTTTCTCCGCTATAAGTAAATCTTTAATTGGAATTTTTTTCTTGAATTATTGAAATATCCTAGCATCAGGCACAGTTAACTCAAACGACGTCAGTGATCAAAATCTGAAACTAGATATGACGTCACTTGTCCTTTTTCGAATTCTTTGATGACGTGAGAAATTTGGAGAAAAATTCAAGAATGTACAAAACCCTTTTTTCTTAACTCAGTGATATGAATGAAAATATGATTGAATGCAGGCGAAGAAAGAAAGCTTGGGACCTGGGCCAGATGACGTAACAGGATGATTATGAATGGATCAGAGCACTATTTTTTCAAATTTTGCAAGAATCTTTCATTAGCAACTCCGGTAACTTCTGTCAAATTTTTAAAAAGACCATTACCCACTAAAAAAATCTTTTTCCTGATTCCATTTTGATATCTTTAATCAACGACGCAGAAGAATTTGATAGAAATATGCACTTTCTTCGTATTTTTAAGTCTCATGGATGTTAGACGAACCCATTCAGATAATATGACCCAGGAACTAATGAATCGAAATGAAGTATGGAATCGAACTGATGAATGTTTGCTTTCTCTATTCATCACTAGTCAAGTATCTTCAATCATCAGTGAGACCATCTTGCCACCTTGATTGTATAGAAGTACTCTTTTTAAAAAAGTACCATTTCTATAGTTTTCGTTTAAAAAAACTTTATGGTTTGCCAATTGCGTACTAAAGACATTGAAGGTAAATCGAAGATTTTGAGCATCCCTTTTGCCCAAATAGTTGCTAATTTTTTTAAAAAGCAGCTCACATAATTTGACTGTGCCTCTTCTGTGCAAATAGGATCTATAGACTAAATTTACAAGAAAATGCCGTTCGACATGTTAGGATTATAAAAGGTCCCCAAAGATCCTAAGTTGTAGTGCCATTAGAACTCTGAATCTGGTGCCATGAAAACTCTGAATCTAAAGTTCTGCTAAGCATAAAACATCACACAAAACATTCTACACAAAACAGAGAGTATTAAACACAAATGCAAGTATAATTGGTGTGATAAGGGTGAGATCATGGGTCTGGCCTTTGAATTTGCTTACAGCACTGCCCATCTTCCTAACTTTTTTGAACAGCACCCCAGTTTATTGGTTATGCCATTTTATTCTGATCTCCTCCGCATTTACTGTAACCAAAGCAACTGACTTTTCAATTTGGAATGCGGTTTTTCATTCGCGTGCAGCAGAATTTGAAATTAAAATTGAAATAATGTGCGGTTTATCTTCGCTTTTTGGCAATTAAATTTTTTTATTAAATATAAACAAACACCATTGTTTAATGAACATTAGCTCTATGACAAAGAACCGAGAGACTCAATGCCAAAAGATTGATGTTAATGCAAGCTGCAACCTAGTCTTCATCAATAGTTGTCAAGTTTTTTACTTTATCATTTACTCTTGTAATTATAGTTCCGCGAGCCCCAATTGTATACTTAGCCCATCATTTTCACGAATGGAGGACAAAACATGTTGAATTTCTATCATGTAGACAGAACGCCTGTTTCTTGCCGCCTGTTTTAATTAGAATAATCAAACTGGAAAAATCTGACATTCTCAATTGAGAATGTTGAGAAAGTCTCGATCCGCCCCTGCTTGCCGGGCCTTACAAATTCCGTAAACTACCCATGACTCAAATAAGCGCCCAGCTCGAAGAAGAAGCTATCCTTAGGAAAATATTGTCCATGTCCGAATAAATGTCGAACCGGGCGCTTATTTGAACAGAAAACTACTGTTAGTGTTAGAATTTTTGCTTATAATGTTTCTTGAAAATATTCAAGCAACTCGTTCATCGAAACTGGACAGTTATAGCAATAAAACATGCTTGAGCAATGAGAGCAGCTAAATGTTTTTACCAATGACTGACTGAGGACACGTCCCCCCAGTTCTCAGCAGAATCGATTTGCATTTCGTCTAAATTCGACGAGAAAATGTTGGGGGAGGGGTAATATTTTGACACCGTACTTTATGTGATGTAATCCTATGATTTTCAAACTGCCAAATTTCAAACAAAAGTTATTCATAGGCGTTCCCTTTGGATAAAATTGGCGTTCCCTGTTGGTAAAAGGGCGTTTTCTGTTGATTAAAAGGGCGTGGCTTAAATATTTTTGGTTTGTTCCCCCCAGAGCTTAGTAGCTAGCGCCGCCATTGTTTTCAGTAATCTAGCATGAGATGTTTTTCAGACAGAGAAATTCAGTCAATATAGTTTAAGGACAATGTTATAGAGCTCAATATAGTTTAAGAGCAATGTTATACGATTCAATATAGTTTAAAGACAATGTTATATATGTACGTGATTTTATTTTCAGCTAGTATATAAGCTGCTACTAATTAGGCTATAGGTATAAGGGCTGCTTTCTATAAAGTAGCTGGTTATTCAAAACCTTCTACAAAGTTAGCTGCTACATGAGACTGTCAAACATCCTTCCCTGAGTATTAACCTTTGCATCTAAATTTGACTTCCAGATATTTCGGTGTACCCCAGCAAGGATCTCCAAAAACAGAATTTCTCGCACCCACTGAGCACGATTGTCTTCCTTCACATGACCCAAGAACCTTTGACCACGAACTGCCAGCACCACAATTAGTGCTCCAGATAAACGACAAGGCTCCTCCACATATTGAATTTGTTTTCCTTCCATACAGTGCATGGGTTATCTTTATTCGCGAGCTGCCTCCGCAGCTCAAGTGAACATTACCATTTTCGCAAGCCCTTTTGGTGTATTCTTGTGAAAGGCATACATGAGTATTGCAAGAGGCGGTTTGTGTTGCAGACCCCAATCGACTGCATCCTTTCCCTCCATGTTTGGGAGGAGGATGGTTGCAAGATCTTGTTCTTGTCTTTTTGCCACCCCCACAGCTCTTGCTACAGCTGCCATATCTCCCCCAGCTAGAGTAGCCTCCATTTACTGAAACAGAGCATAACCGTTTAAAGGAAGGCAAAGTAAATAAGATATTTCTCTCAGGTTTCCTTTTATGGAAGTCTGTTATTGTTCTGTTACAGTTCCTTTTCGACTCATTTCAAATCGCTTTTTTAAAAAAATTCCCTATCAAAGTTTACCATTTTCAAACCTATTTTATTGTATCCAATAACGCGCCTTAACAACCATTGATATCATTTAAGAAGGTTTGTTTTTAAATACATTCCTTTCTTAAAATGCATTTTCAAAACAAGTGAAACTGGAATACCTAAATGTACCTAAATGCTTCACAATTCCTTGCACTAAATTTTTGACTTGGATCAAGGGCCATAATTTAGTGTACGTGTAGGTTTTCATGATGCAAATTTTCGTAATATTGATTTTTCCCGTCATATCTCTTCCACGCATTAAAACTTTACATTGTCCTGAAATCATGACTGAAAGCATGATGATTAACCATAATCTAAGCCAAAAAGGCATATACAGGTTTGGGAAAATTTGGTTAGAATCGTCACCTTTTCGAGGGAATGGAGGTTATAATGCATATGTCAGTAGTATACAACGAGGTTAAGAGAAAAATTAAAAAAACGAGGCTGTAAGATTAGTTGAGGCTGCATTCTTTAGTTGCAAAAAATTCCACCCAATTACCATTTTTTTCCTCGTCATTCAATCCCGTTCTTCAAAAAGGGCAGAGACACTGCAATTGAGATATTTGCTTAAACCTGTCACTAAATGTTACCTGGGCAATTCTGGGTATTACATGAAAGTGTTTCCAAAGCAGCCCCCTTGCACTCTTTTCCACCATGGCTTGGACTTGGGTTAGTGCAACTCCTTGTTCTTCTCTTGACTCCACCTCCACAAGTCGTGCTGCAAAGACCAAAACTTCCCCATGGTCCATATTTTCCATCAACTGAAAAATAGATATATCCATTTGCATAGCTGCAAAGTGAAAAGTGATTAATTGTCTAAATCTGTTAGCCAATCAGCTGTTTTACTAGTAATTTTTTGTCTTTATGTCAACTTTGCACATAACAAGAACAGTACTGATTTTAGTTGTGTGAATGAACATATAAATAAATATTAGCAAAAGAAGTTGGTAAGAGTCTAAGAGAAATTAAGCCCAGAAAGTCTTTGGGATAAGTTCAGCAAAGATCCTCGCAATCAAACTATGCAACAAGGTACTGTAGGGCAGGGCCTATTTTTAGAAATTTTTAACACTGCACATTTATAACTACATTTTTTATAGGAAATTTTATTGTTGCAATTTTTGGAAATTTCTAGTCATTTCGTTTTGTTTTAAGTTTTGATTAGGGAGTCTTTCCGATGGTCATACGAGATTTGCAATACATGACCTCTATATCGAACTGACGGGGAAAATTCACATTTTGTGAACAAAGCGAGAATCTGGGATAGCGGCAATTAGACATTTTCACAAATCCCAAAATTCAGTACTGCACATTTTCGAAATCAATACTGCACATTTTTAAATTAATACTGCACAAAGTGTGTAATACTGCACACGAAAATAGGCCCTGCTGTAGGGATCTGAATATTCCTAGAACAAATACAGAGCATGTGAAAAAAAGTTTAACTACTCTGCTCTTAAAACCTGGAACGACGTTCCAATTGATATTAGAGGACTCTCGACTATTTGTCGCTTTAAAAACAATTAAAGGAGTACTTGAAGAGAAAACAGATTCGTCTATTTAAACACGACTCCCTGGAAGAACAGCATTTTAGATTGAAATTATATCTCTTTTTTTTAATTGAACAAATGTATTTATACTTAATTGATATTGTATTAGGGTAACTGCAGGGTTGAATCGTGTAAAAAAAATATTATTATTTAAGATTGATTTTACAATAACAGGGATTGGGGACCTTTGGTAAACAAAAGCACTTTTGACAGTTGATGGCTTTTTAGTAATAATTTTTAGTTCTGTACAAAGATAACTTACCTCCGTTGTCAATAAGTTTTCAAGCTTTTGGAAAAATCGCTTGAGGCAAAGGGTGCACCCGGAAATTTCTTGTTGTCCAGGTGGGCCAGTCCACTTTTGCCTCTACCAAACAAAACTTCATACTACATTATCATGTCATTTACCAATTGACGTTAAAACAATCACACACATTATGAATAGATACCTGGACAGCTTTCAACATTGCAAGGGCGCGATTCTGATGCAGGTCCTTCACATTCCTTGCCACCGTGACTTGGTGCTGGGTTGTTGCAAGGTCTTGTTCTTGTTTGGTTTCCACCACCGCAAGATTTTGTGCAGGCACCAAAATTTTTCCATGGTCCATATTCTCCATCCACTTAAAAAGTAGTTCAACTTGTATCATTAAACCAGTCACAATTAGGTGATCCTGATTGACGATTTTATGTTATTAACTATACATATGGTTGACGTAACAGACACACTGCCTTATAGCTCAGGGTGTACACTTTGTTTATTGGCATACTACTATTTTCGACACATAGTAATAACAGGACATAACTGTGTAATGCCGGTGGGCATCCACCCCTCTTGATCTTTAGTCAGGAGGGTGAAGAGGCAAGAATTTCCTTTTATAAATGTTTTCTTGTCATCATCCTGTTTTAGTTATCAAACATATTCATATGAAATTCTGATTGTATTGCTTTATTCATGTCGACATTTCTCAAAGCATGTAAAACAGATCGAATAAAAGGCGATTCAAAAGAATTAGTAGAAGGGGGTAAATATTTTTTCGATGCCCTTTTCCTAAAGCTTGCCCCCATTGCTTCTTGGTAGTTCTGTTGTCCCTGCATATACGTAATTAACCAGTTAAGTGTTGATAAATATTCACACCATACAACCGTTATTGGTTTTGGCCTGGCCTTGTATTGACATTCTCAATTCGTTTGAGCCCACGAGTTAAAATTACCTGGACATGGTTTTCCTGTGTCACAAGCTCCTATTTCTGTGCTGTTACCAAGGTCGCTGCAATCCTTTCCCTTGCCTTTTGGTACTGGGTTTGTGCATGTTCTTTCCCGAACTTT